GTCACACTACCTCCACCATGCTTGACAGATGCGGTGTTATGCTTTGAATCGTGAGTAGCTCTTTCCTTCATATTCTTCTCTTCCCATCATTCTGGTGCAAGTTGATCTTTGTATCATCTGTCCATAAAATGTTGCTCCAGAACTGTACAGCTTTTTTAGATCATTTGGGGCTTACCAATGGTTTACATCAATGCAGTTTTTAGTTATAAGTACATCATCATTGAAACGAGATCTTACAAGACATCCTTGATCATCTTTGCTTACTTTGATGCTTGTAACTCACTTGAAACAATGAGATGCATCTCATTGTCAAAACAAATATTGCTGCTTTTTTTGCCTGCCCTTAAGGGGTTAATACATTTTGGCGGGTTACATTTGCAGAATGGCTTTATTAGGTCAGTCCAATAATCAGAGTCAAAACAGGCAGGCAAAACTGAGAATATACCAAACAAAGGAATGACTCAGAATCCATGTAAAGACACAAACAGTGTGTCCCAATTCAAGAGCTGCATCCTTCGGAGGCTGTATTTGAAGGCTGATCGCGTCACAGCAGCGCGACTAAGCTGTCCTATTTCGAAGCCTCCTTCATATGCAGCTGAGAAATGTGTCATTCTTTTCCGTGGCAACGAAGGATCCAACGGGTGCATCCTTTGCCAGCCAACATATCCCGAGGTTCACTGCATGCCAGTGAGGATTGGAAGACATGGTGGCATCAACAGAGAAGCGAATGGCGACTGAAGATACACTTTTAAATATACATATTGTGTTTAAATTGAGGGTGGCACGGTGGTGCAGCGGGTAGCGCTGTCGCCTCACAGCAAGAAGGGCCTGGGTTCGATTCCCGGCCGGGCGACCAGGGTCATTTCTGTGTGGAGTAGGTGTGTGTGTGAATGAATATGTCTGTCTGTCTGCCCTGTGATGGACTGGTGACTTGTCCAGGGTGTATCCTGCCTTCTGCCCAATGATAGCTGGGGTAGGCTCCAGCACCAGTAGGATAAACAGTTTAGATGATGTGTGTGTGTGTGTGTGTTTAAATTGAGTTGAATGGCTAATGATACATATATATATATATATAAAAAACAATCTCATCAGTAGCCGGCGTTGAAGCATCTCCAGCTCTAATAAAAGAAACTAAACAACTAAAATCAAAGTTTTTGGCTCCATCTTTAAAGAACTTTACAAGAACATGACTTCATGGCACAACAGTAGGGGTGGGAACAGCGGTGCTGTGACGCAAACAGAAAATCCGCCGTAGGGCAGACTGTCTCATTTCAGTTCAGCCTTCTTGGGTCCAGCCCCTGAACTGGGACACACTGAAAGACTTTGCAAACTAACAGGCTAAACAAATGAGATTGTAGGAGAGTATGAGAGTAAATGAGTCCATAAACTATCTGCAGGTGTGTGTAATGATGGAGCGGCGGAGCCAGGGAGGAGCAAGAGCTGGAATGAGCCATTCCAGATAAGGCCGTGTCAAATTGAGTCTCCCCAGAGGGGGGAGACATTACGACAGACTTGTAGAGATATGGATTTTTTTAACTTATGGCTGTGATATGATACTTCAACCTTGCAAAACTAAAAACTGGACGCTTCAACTTTCAGAATTGCTGTGATTGACAGCTGCGGCTAACACAAAATATGTTATGGTGTTAGTTTTGGAGAGTTGGTGAGAGCCAAATGACACCACAACCATGAACTGATCAGAGCAGTGTGGAAAAGTCCCTGCTGAGTCTAAACCACTTTCACCAAGTTGAACCAATGAAAGAGCAGAAACAGAGCTGCATTATCAGTCACTGGGTAAAGTTCATACAGAGAGTTCAACTGCAAATCATGATCATATGCCTAACCTGCACTGTGTATCTGCACAACGAAGGAATTAGGACATGAAGATATTTTCATTTTAGGTCTACTGTTAGTAAAATGACATTTATTCATTCCTCCAAAACATGGAAATGTATCACTCTTGCGCCAGTCCCTCTGTCCCCGACTGGAGCAGTCAGGACACGGTAGATGCAGAGTCCCTGACAGCAGAGGAGGATCCCACAGCACTACCTAGAACTCCAGAGAGCACCTGCAAGCCAGCACTTGGTTCCACAGCACTGCCCAGAACAGCAAGGTGGTGGCCCCCCCTAGGTACATTGCCTGTGGTGTCTCACCAAGACACCTCGTGGTTGGTGGATCCCTTAGCCACTTCTCCATTGGAGTTCTTACAAGAGCTAGGAAATTTGACCTAATACTGTGACTTTGAGTTCCTAATGACACTACACTGGCTAGAATTCCATAATGTTAAAAAAATGATGCTACTGACATATAAAGCTCCAAAGTTTGACCCCTCCATACCTTTCTCCTATTATGAACCATCACACCTACTTAGATCACAAAGTGCTTGCTTCCTGTTAGTGCCTAGAATTAACCTGAAGCCCGTAATTTACGGGCAAAACGGTAGTTGAATTCTAGCCTTCGTAATTTCAGAACGGTTTAAGCTACAGACATGATACACATATTAGATCTTTCAGCAGACCTGGCCCAAACTAGGTAGCATGGCATCATCAAGATGTGACATCAGGATCAGTGAGTAATTTGGCTTGGAAAATCACCCAAAATCTTGATATTATTGCTCTGTTTTTTGGTCTTCATACTCCAACAAAGGGTTAAAAATAGCAACACGATTCACACATCAGATCACTCATCAGACTCTGCCTCACCATCCAAAATGATTTTATCCACCTGTGACCGTCCATCAGCCAGCAATCCAGCTCCAAAACCACCCAAACCCACTCGCTACTGTTACATTACATCTCTGCTTTTAGCCTTCATATTATAAACAAAGGGTTAAAAATAATGACATGATTCACACCAGAACAGAGGAACCTGCCATCACTAGCTGGAGTGAGAGAAACCAGCTCTAACATCCAGAAATACAGCACAACCACACAGCTAGATCACTGTAAAACATGCTATTAGCTCTTTGCTTTAGCCTTCATATGGCAACAAAATGGTTAATAAAGCTACAGCAAGAGGTAGAGCTTTTCCTTACAAAGCACCCCCCCAAGCTTAGTAGCCTTGCACTCAGTGTTCAGGAACCAAGACAGGAACCAAGTCTTGTTTTTTAAATCTAGTTCTAAAAAACAACACTTCATTGCACTGACTTTATTCAAATTTGTACATTGGTTCCAGGTGAATAAAATATATGACAACATATTTTTTTTCTTTTAGTTTACTCTACTCAAGAGCTAAGTTGTAGTAAACACTCATCAGCACATCAAGCACTTTATTAGGAACACCTGTACACCAACACATCAATCCAATTATGTAATCAGCCAATCGTGCCAATGGTCCAGTGCATAAAATCACCCAGATACAGGCCGGCAGCTTCAGATAATGTTCTTATCAACCATCAGAATGGGGAAAAACAACGGTCTTCAGAGTTTACTCAGAATGGTGCAATATGGAGAATAGCCAGACTGATTTGAGCTGACAGAAAAGCTATGGTAATTCAGATAACCACTCAATTGTGGCATGTGGAAAAGCATCTCAGACTGCACAAACCACTGAACGTTTAGGTGGATGGGCTACAACAGCAGAAGAAACACATTGTGTTTCACTTCTGTCAGCCAAGAACAGAAAGCTAAGGCTGCAGTGGGCATGGGCTCACCAAACCTGGACAGCTGAAGACTGAAAAAACACAACCTGGTCTGACGGATCTCGATTTCTGCTGAGGCACACAGATGTTTAGATGATAATTTGGTGCCAACTGCATGAATCCATGGACCCAACCTACCTTGTGTCAAACGTCTAGGCTGGTGTAGGTGGTGTAATGGTGCGGGGAATGTTTTCACACTTTGTGCCCTTTAATACCAATAAATCATCACTTGAATGCCACAGCCTATTTGAGTATGGTTGCTGGCCATGTGCATCCCTTCATGGCCAAACACTTACAATTTCTTCTAATGGCTACTTCAAGCATGGATTTTTAAATGCTCTTTAAAGTGTTGCATTCAATCATTGGGTCAAAGAAATGTTGTTCTCTCTACACTATAAGGGAGAATACTCATTTCAAATGCACTGTGAGGGCCTGTTGTGTTAGCATCAAGGCACAATGACCTCCACCTTCTTATACACATACATGGCCCTGGTGTCCAAAAGTATTTAGACAGCCCTTGTAGTGAGTGACTGTCGGACCCAGGTGTTCGGTTCTGCACAGTTTGTATAATCTCCATAGAAAAGCATTAGCCAATAGGATAGGATTAATAAAATGATTGCTTCGAGCTTATATTATCAGTATAATTGAATATTACAGTCAGACTTACACAAAGAAATCGTTACAAAATGTGTTTATTAAGAGCAGTAAAATATATACAATGTCTATGCAGGCATTGGTTTAAAAAAGTCTTAAGGTCTTAACATCTGGTTTAAAAAAGTCTTAAGCTTCATCACACTTGGTGTAGGTTTGTTTAATACACACACACACATTTTCTAAGCTTCTTATCTTCATGGGTCGTGGGGGCAGGCTGCCAGTCACAGGACTTGTTTAATATTAAAACATACTATTTAAGACTTGAGTCTGAGCTGTAAAATGGCCTCTTTTCATAAAATCTGTTGGAGGCCTAAGTGACCGTTTTCATCTAAAACATTTAACGTACATAAACATTCAGCCTACATAGTACCAAGTCCAGAAATATGTATATTGACCCAAGTCAAACATGTTTCTCTAATTATCAAACTCCCAAAAAGCAAATATCAAGCCTATGCTTAAGCAAACATTGAAATTCAGTTTTGTAAAGGATTGTTAAAAATAAAACAGACATCTAAAATTAATTCTATAAACACATTACAGGTCATTAAAGCTGTGTAATAGACTTCACTGCGCGTAATATCACCTGGCATTAAAGATGACTCCTCTATATCATCACACGAACATGCAAGAATTCAGATAAATGTGAAACAAGTTTTTTTTTAACAAAAGTAAACCGTCACTCAGTGTTACAGTAAAACAGTTTTCTTTAATTATAAACAAAAAAACAGTAAAACCAGTATAAAACTGACCAGTAGTTAACTTCACAGGACCCCTGTAAAACAATTACACAAATTACATTAATTCATCAATACTCAAAATGGATTAATATCAGTTAAACTCTTTCTCATCTCCACTGACCTGGAGATTTCTTCTTATAGTAGATGAATCCAGCAGTTGACAGGATGATCCCCAACACAAACCCTGAAGCTCCGATAATAATCTTGCTCCTCCCATAATCAGGAAAAGAACCATCTGTGGGGCAGAAAAACACCATTTCATGAAAGTGAAGTGTCTTTAAAATTAAATACGCTAATTTCATTATTATAATAAGCATATTGTTATGAATATAATGCCATTTTTACAGCTTTATGATACTGTGACTTTGAGTTCTGTTGAATCTTTATTGATATTTGCTGACAAGCAAGGTATAATAGGTGTTTATTCTCACCCCAGTTGTAGATGATGGGCTCCTTGGAGCTGGCGTGCTCCACCACACAGGAGATCTTCTCTCCAGATGTGGGCATGTACTCCAGGTGGGAGTGGACCTGGTGGTACCAGTCTCCATCAGCCATCTCCTCAGTGGACACCACATCAGAGGTCACTTTTTTACCGTCTCTCAGCCAGTACACATCGATGGCTGGGGGGTAGAAATTATACGCGCTGCACATCAGTATGGCAGGACGACCCTCACTGGCCTGCTTTTCTGACCTGAGGCGGATCATTGGCTTCACTGCAAACATCAAATATTATTAGTGCAAAATCATTTTTCAAACAGTTGTTTTTTTATCACTATATTAATATTAATAATGTAAACTACAATGCTGACAGATTCACCTACTAAACCTAAGAGCAATATTAGACTGTGGGCAAGCGTCCCCTGGCCACGAGAGCCTGCAGGAAGGTGGGGCCTGAACACAGAGTGGCGACGAACCCTGGCGAGGACGTCAGGGAGAGAGCCGCGAATGAGTGGGGGACGGCGCACAACTCCCGACCACCGCCGAGGGACACGAGTGACGGCAGGAGGAGGATGTCAGCCGTGAGAGAGGGGACAACGACAATGACGGCAACGAGAGGCACGAAAGCGGCAAGCGAGTCCCGAACTCTGCTGCCTGAGCACCGCCCCCTGTTCCGCAGCAAGGCCACTTCACTCCACCTCACGTTCGATCCAGCATGTCTCATAACTGTAACGGCAGTCAAAAGAAGATTCAAGTGAAGCCAAAATTCTGATCCCAGAACAGCTATGTATTGAGCAACCAGACAGAATGGCACATGCTCAATGTCAAACCCAAGGGGAGGTTAGCACTAGCCACAGGCTTCACCCTGACGGTGACCCCCTCACACACAAAACACCCCTAAATAACCCAGTCCCTGACACAGAATAACACATCAGATACCACACATCTCAAACTAACAAAACAACACAAACAACAATAAATAGTACCTTTTTAACCGGGACCTAGCCCTTCCATGAGTATCTTTTTGCGATGCCAGCTCCTGTTTGGCTTTGTGCCCTGTTCACCACACTGCCCCCTCCTACCATTCCAGTGACCCAACACAATCCAAACAACATCCCTGGCATACAAGAGGGCATGCCACCCTGCCCCCCACACTATGCATACAGTCATCTCTATCTTAGGCCATATCCGTGGCAGGTGCGGGTCAAAACGTACTCGGCTCAGACCCCCCAGAGCGACCGAGAGCCACTTTTTAATGATGTGCCTCTCTCAGCATGTGGGAGCGCACCTGGATGTAGCAGAGAAACTGATGAGCTCATGTCAACAAGCGTGGTGAGACATCTGCCATTTATGCTACACTAGATCAACAGCCCATAACAGCAGAAGGGCTTCCTGGCCGAGTTCTGTTTCTCCGCTGACATAGGCTTGCGGCATTGCTTGGTGCAGTGTCCCCTTTTCCTGCTTTGCCAACATACCAGTTGCCATGTTGCTCTTCACTCGGGGGGCTGCACGCCACATCGAGCTGTGCCTCTTCTTTAAGGATAAGCTGTGCCCTCATCTCATCAGCCATGGCCTCTCGAAGGCTAGCCAGGGGGCGAGTGACCCCTGCCACTATAGTTTCTCCGGGTGCAGCGTGTTCAGGAAATACTCCAGCATCAACTTTCAAGCCTAGGGTATGCCTGCAGAACCATGCTGCACAGCTCCAGTACCAGTGCATGCATCGGCTCTCCCTCTCACCTCCATCTGTGCAGGAGAAGCCTCCTGACTGACAGCACTGGAGGCTCCTCCTCGCTCCTGCTGGGCTCAGCCAATCCTTGCCACGTTGCTTTCAGCTCAGTAGCTTCTCGTTTTTTCCTTCTTCTTCTTCTTTGCAGTCGGTTTTCTAGGTAGCATTATTGGCCGCCAGCTACTTCAGGTCAAAAGAAGATTAATGTGAAACCATAGTTTTGAATCAAGAACAGGTCTTTATTGTGCAACCAGGCAGAAAGGCACATACATATGCTGAACCAATGGGGAACGTCAGCACTAGAGGTCCACGTGGGGCTGTTTTTACAGTCTCACAGCCACCTGCTCCCTCAAAAAATTGGAATCATTTGGCCCGGTCCTGCCTGCAACTGAAATGTTTTGTCCTGTTCTCACCTGCGCAGTTCCTTCAAAGTGAACTGACATCCAGTATCTGATACAGTCTAATCACAAATACATTATTCTCTGCTGAAATAACACAGCAGTCATGACCATCAGGCTCACTGTCAGTAACTTCACCAAATGCTATTTATTCCCAGTAAACACAGAGCAGGAACTACAGAGCGGTAATTTGTGGGGTTTTGCTGGGCAGCTGTGGCCGTTGGACCACATGTTGTTCACATGATATTGTTTATCTATGATTTAATGTGTGTTCTGTTTTATTTAAGCTGTTAATACATTCGCAGGATTTCTCTTCATGCGTGCTGGTCCCGCTCCCGCCTGCAGCAGGCCGGTTTCCCGACCGCTCCTGGCAGAACACTGAAAATTTGGCCCACGCCCTGATGGTTACCCCAACTTACAGACAAATATCCACAAAATAACCCCTGAATAACCCACTCTCTAACACAGAACAACACATATAACAAATACCACACATCTCAAACTCGTGAATATAATAATCATCAGACCAAATTCACAAATATGTAATATTTGTGCTTTCTTTATAAGGCCCAGCAGCAAAATTCTTGTTTATATTCTGTTTTTCTCTACTGCAAATAATAGTATGTCACAACCAAAAGTGATTGCCTCACTGTTTGCGCCTTTTTGTGGGTCTGAATCGTCACATGTTGTGCAATAAGAGTTAATGTCAAGCCCCAAGCTGTTGATTCCAGAGAGCCACTGCAGAGTATTAATAGCAGTTTTGAGTCATTGATGAGTCACTCTGTGTTCATCTATGACTGGAAGACTGTAAAGAATGGTATAACCGACTGTTTCTAGCCTAATCAGTTTAAAACAACACTTCTGATTGGTTAATATTGTATCACTCAAACAATCCACATAATGTTACTGTGGCAGCGGTCGCCAAGCACCAACTGTGGGGTGGGGTGCTTGTTCTGGCTGCACGGCAGACTGATGAGTCATGATGTCCACCTGTGTGTAGTTGTCTCTCTGCCTACTAATACCCTCTTTTTCACTCAGTAGGTGTTGAGAGACCAGAGAGAGAGAGAAGCCACGAGGTGCAGAAGCAAGACAAGTCCGAGACGACTGAGAGTTGACAGTTTTTGTTTGTTTTAATCAACTAAAACACTGCATCTCCCCTCCTGACTCCTTTCCCCCCTATGGTTATGACAACACTTCAGACACTGAAATTATCTGAAGCATGCAAAAAACTTAAATATAACAGCCTAACAGCTTAACCTTATAAGATTCTGAAAGTTTATGCTGCCTTTTTGATAAAATAGAGTGCGTAAGATATTAATACTTGTGACTGTGTCGTTAGTGTTATGCACAGAGCTGTTATATTACAAATAAAGTCCTTGTGTAGACATGAATAGAGCTGAAAACATTTTTTTCTAAAGCAACCATAAATACAAAATCACTCAATTAATATTAAGTTCTCAATTAATATTCATCTAATAAATTGCTTTGATAATGGACAATTTCATCTACACAAATCATATTGGCAGCATAAATAAGTAAACATTAGAAAATGTAATATCAGCTAGATAATATGTAACTAGCTGCGTAGTTTCATTCATGTTAAAGGTGATCGTTTTTATTTTATCCGCATGAGAATAAACAGTTTGGACTGTTTTGTGCTGCTTACTGGCCTTTATCAAAATACAGGAAAACACAGATCAGGCATAACATTGTCACCTCCTTGTTTCTATGCTCATTGTCCATTTAATCAGCTCCACTTACTATATAGGTGCACTTTGTAGTTCTACAGTTACAGACTGTAGTCCATCTGTTTCTCTGATACTTTGTTAGCCCCCTTTTACCCTGTTCTTCAGTGGTCAGGACCCCCATGGACCCTCACAGAGCAGGTACTATTTGGGTGGTGGATCATTCTCAGCACTGCAGTAACACTGACGTGGTGGTGGTGTGTTAGTGTGTGTTGCGCTGGTATGAGAGGATCAGACACAGCAGTGCTGCTGGAGTTTTTAAACACCTCAGTGTCACTGCTGGACTGAGAATAGTCCACCAACCAACAATATCCAGCCAACAGCATCCTGTGGGCAGCGTCCTGTGACCACTTATGAAGGACTAGACGATGACCAACACAAACTGTGCAGCAGCAGATGAGCTATCGTCTCTGACTTTACATCTACAAGGTGGACTGACAAGGTAGGAGTGTCTAATAGAGTGGACAGTGAGTGGACACAGTGAGGTGTTTAAAAACTCCAGCAGCACTGCTGTGTCTGATCCACTCGCACCAGCACAACACACACTAACACACCACCACCACGTCAGGGTTACTGCAGTGCTGAGACTGATCCACCACCCAAATATTACCTGCTCTGTGAGGGTCCATGGGGGTCCTGACCACTGAAGAACAGGGTAAAAGGGGGCTAACAAAGTATGCAGAGAAACAGATGGACTACAGTCTGTAACTGTAGAACTACAAAGTGCACCTATATAGTAAGTGGAACTGATAAAATGGACAATGAGCATAGAAACAAGGAGGTGGTCATCATGTTAAGCCTGATCGGTGTATTTTTCCTTATTATTTTTACAACACTTATACAGCTCAGCTCTGTGCTGCTTTTAAAGCTCTTGTGCATCCTCTTTTTCTCAGTGGAGACCACATGTGTGTCTTACCCGTTTTCTCCAGAATATGTGAGTAGTCAAATTGTAGATTGTCTTTGCAGTATCTGTCCAGCTCGCCTTTCTCGCGCTGTAGTTCAGGTCCGTTGTTCCACATCTCTGCAGTCCTTACTTCAAGCGGATTGAGCGCTACATACTTCCCAACACTGCTGTTGAACTGTACACATTTCTGCTTATTAAAATAGTAGGTATCAATGAGTTCTGCATCTGACAGATCTGGCGAGCTGGTGATACAGTCTACTACTCTGTAATAATCATATGAATCTGGAAATTATATGAAGAAAAAAAGAAAAGAAAAACAAATAGATTAGTTCGAGATGCAGTGCTTTGTCTGAGACAAGGACAGAAACATAACTCCAATAAAAAGCTGATAATATGACTGTAAATGTAAACAGACCTGCTCTCAGACTCAGACTCAGAGCGAGCAGCAGCTGCAGAATCAGGATCATCTTGTCTCGACATCCAACAACAACTGAGAGAGTTTAAGAGAGTGAGTTCCTGATAACAGAGACTCACTGACCAATCAGGATCTGCTAAACTACTGCATCACATGTTACTAACCATTATTGTAAACTGACATGTCACTAGTTATAATTACATTATAAGGTAAATAGATTTAAAAAGTTAAAAAGGGTTAAATTCTTCAACCAAAGTGTAAGTTTATTTGTAGCCTATGTATATTAATCGCTCTATCCAGCTGGTTCAAAGTCAGAATTCAAACACATGACTTTTAAAATGTTTTAGCTCTGAGTGACCCTTTATCTTAATTATGTTTATGTTTGTATCATTTCATTTTGTCACTAACAAAATAATCATAATAGTACTGAAACTGTACCAAATGTTTCAGTATTGACTGTTTCGGTGGTGACAATTTTAGCTCATTTTGAGCAGAACTCAGAAATGCTAGCCAGGACGTGACCAGCAAACACAGCTGTGATCAGTTGGGTTCACATAAAATCATCATATTTTTCATTAAAACACACAAAAGTTTACTTAATTGCAGAAAATCTGTGTTTCGGGAGTGACAGTTCTCAATGTTCCACACTGATTTTCAGACTTTGGGACTCATTCACTTCAAAATAATGGGATCTAACTGCTTCCTATTTGGCCATGGGGGACAGGGATGCAGCCTCACTTCCTTTCTAAAATGCAGGGGCCTGGCTAGAAATAAGGATCCGCCCACCGACTGAAACTCTTTGTGTTTCAGTAGTGATGTGAAGATGTGGCTAGGCAAGTAATTAAAATTCATGTTAAGTCTTTCAATTACACTTTAAATTAAATCAAAAATATATTTTAAAAAACATCTTTGAAAAAATACAAAAAAAAAATGTAGTGGTTAGAATTTGGGACAGACACCTCCTAACAAAAAGTACCCTATAATTATGATTTTGTATATATTTATACATATTTGTATATATTTATATATATTTGTATATATTTATATAATATGTCTGTATTAAAGCCTTGTGTTTAAATAGATCATAACAAAATCCTTGTAAATATCTAAGGATTGAATACTTTTTTAATTATTATTATTCATTTTTGTACCGTGAGACTGCAGCTTGAACTAATTCAGTAGAATGATAAGTAATGATAGTATGTCTATAAGCATCTATAATCACATTCATAACATGTTATAACATTCATAAGTATTAAAAAACATGGTTTTAAACATTTATAAAAATGAACAACTCTTTATAGCCAAATTTATTATGCAGTATGATGGGTTGACATAATGAATTACAAGGGGTGTTAATAGCATATTATATTGTCAGGGCTGGACCTTTGGGGCTTAAGTCTTAAATATTCAGATACCAGAAACAAATTGTCCAGCTCAGAGTTATTACTGCCATGTGCTTTCATTAACCAGCACTCTCACTTTAAAAATTACATCACATCACAGCAATCCAAGTACCCACCAGGCCCTGAATCCCCCTCTGACATCACACTGAGCATGAAGGTACTGTGCAGTGAAAGTATGGAGAGTGAGAGGCAAGTTAGTAGAGCGCTATCACTGAAATTTGCTTCCTCATTGGTTCTAACATTAACCACTAGAAACCTTCACTTTGTAATGTCACTACACTACAGTAATGCTAATTTCTGCTAGCATTCTATAGGATATGCAGTGTTAAGTTAGCACCAAGCTAACTTTGGTGTATAATGGCTTTATAATTCCATACATACTATTCTTTCACACAAATAATATGTATGGAATCATAACATGTAGAAAGCCACTACTCTCTAGGAAGAAGACCACCTGGGTGAGCCAGAAGACCACTGAAACAATGTTATGTGGTTCGAAAAGGCAAAAATGCCAGATATTAAGTTTGGCAAAACCGAACACTTCATTCCAACATAAGAACCTCATCTCGACTTTGAAACATGGTGGTGGCAGCATCACAGTTTGGAGTCATTTTGCCAAGGCAGCTTGCCATCAAAGAGGGTCTTGCAGAAAAACAATGACCCTAAAAACACCAGTTAGTCTACCAAGAATGGTTAAAGCAGAAGAAATGTTATATTTTGGAAAGTTCAGACCTTAATCCAATGGAAATGTTGTGGCATAATCTAAGGTGTGGCATTCATGAAAGAGAGCCCACTAGTATAACACAGTTGAAGCAGTTCTGTGAGGAGGAACAGCCCAAGGTTCCCCCAAGTAAAGGCTGATCAACAGTTACAGGAAGTGTTTGGTTGAATTCATTGCTGCTCAAGCGGGTCACAGCAATATCGTCGCAGTCCAATGAAAACCATGTATCTCCATTTTTGTTGATTTTTAGTTTTCTACATCATTTCAACACTCCAGCTGTCCTTTACATTGTGTAAAAAATCATAATGAATGGACCAATAGAAATGTTCTAAAATCACTTGGAACTAAATATTTTTACATTGACTTACATTGAAAGGTAAGAGTGTTTTTGCCCTCTCCTGTAAAGTTAACATTTTGGAGATTTTCATTGGACAGCAACGATATATTTTTTGTGTTATTTTATTTATTTTGGTTCTCTTTATTTTGTCATGAGGTAAATGAAGACCTGATCATAGTTTAGATTACAAGTATGTAGAAATTCACAAAATGATAGAGAGTTCAAAAACTTTCAAAGATGTTTTATTCAATATCTCAAGAAGTTAAAGTTTTGTGCAAAATAAGTACTAAAATGACCTATTTATATTATTTTGGTCAAGTTTTGATCTCTGCTTTTGAAAATGATGAATTCTGGGTATTCCTTTTGTTGTAAGGTGATTCTTGGTGTTGTACAGTTTCTGCAGTCATTTTATGATCTTCTATAGCTCTATTAATCATTTAGGACACTCACTCACTCACGTCATCTAAGCCACTTATTCTCCTGGGTGGCAGGGGGAGCTGGAGTCCATCCCAGCGCTCACTGGGTGGCAGTGGTGGACAGTAACTAAGTAAATGTAACTGGTTACTGTACTTAAGTAGTTTTTTCGTGTATCTGTACTTTACTGAAGTCCATTTTGAGTGACTTTTTACTTTCACTCCACTACATTTCAAAGTCTAATATCTCACTTTTTACTCCACTACATTATGAGAAATCTGTTGTTCCTTTTGGTTTATGTGTGAATAAAAACGTAACATCAAAACAAAAGAAGAGCAAAGTAAGAACACCAATCAGGGCACAGCGGTCACTTTGTTTTGAGCTTGTTTTGACCTGTTGGTCATACCGACCCAGTGCAGCACACAGTTCAACATCAGTGCAGCAGCGTAAGAGTTTGGGAGAGTCTATTCAACATAAATGATGAACTAATCTAACTTTGTGTAAATAGACCACAATAAAGAAATATGTACACATATGCAGTCGTGACTGACGTGTCTTTTTTCTGAATTTATACAAACACTTTCATTTTATAGTAGATTAGTTTTGGCTAGTTTATGTTTATGAACAGAGACCTACAGATGCAGTTTAGTAAAGGAAACTCATTTGTGAATCTGAGTTTAAAGATTTTATTAAACTTAAACTTGTAACTGTAAATAAATCTTAAACTGAAACTTTGCTTGTTTGTAAAAAGTGATTTCAGAGCCACTCAGTTCTACCTGATGGAAACTGTTTGCCTTCAGTGTTTTGTGCTTATGATAATTTTAATAGACATCAGTGTCACTAATTAATGACATTCTATTAAAAGACTGGTTTACCAAGAGAGACACTGGAGTATTTTCACCTAAAATGAGTTGATGAAACGAGTCTCATTACAAAAATGATTATGACATTAAAGTCATAATTAATGTTTTAGTACTTTTACTTTCAATACTTAAGTACATTTGAAGGCAAATACTTTTGTACTTTTACTCAAGTGGAGGTCTAAAGGGAGGAACTTCTACTTTTACTGGAGTAATATTTTACCTTGGGTGTCTCTACTTTAACTCAAGTACATGATCTGTGTACTTCGTCCACCACTGCTGGGCGAGAGGCAGGAAACATCCTGGACAGGTCACCAGTGTTTATGTTGTTATAACATTGATGCAGTTGGTTTATCAAAGACTTTTGAAAACACTAATTCCAAACAAAGATTTTAAAGTTTATTAAAGTCATCTGCTTTTGTATGCTTAATGTCCTAGTGATCACCCTTGTCTGCAAACATTTTTTTTTTTAATATTGAGTCATATACAAATTTACTTGGTTTTATATTCAAGTATGTTAACAGGTCCCGAGTTACAGCATAGAGTTGACATGTGAAAGTGAAAACAACAGGTACATTCATGGATAAATGTCAAAGTGGATGATGAGCTCAAAAAGCAAGTCACACAAAATCATACTGTAATGTTTAAAGTTTGACTTTTAGCTGCAGTTGATTCCTTTGACGAGGAAGAAGATTCCAACAGCGGCTCCCAGCAGTCCTGCAGCCAGACCCGCTCCACAGAACACGGTCAGACCCACACTGGCAGGAGTGACCTGCACATCTGTACAACACAGAAAACACATAAATAAACTATATACGAGTCCCAATTTTTAGCTTTATTCACAATATATACACAGTGGCCCTGTTTACTCCATTATAATCAAAGGGTCCAACTCTGGTCTTATAGACCCCCCAGTCTTACAAGCTTTAAACTGTTCCCCACCACAACACGCCTGATCCAGCTAATCAGGTAATTATCAAACCCAAAATGAGCTAAGTCAGGTGTTTTTGGGCAGAGAATAAATAAACCTACGCTTCACATTCACATTACATCTGAATTGTCATATAACTTTCACTGTTATACTAATGAAATCCATTAACAGAGTCAGGTCTATAACCAGGTATAAATCTCACCCCATGTTTTGGTCAGTGGTCTGTCCAGGGCTGTGTGCTCCACAGTGCAGGTGTAGATGTCACCCTCCTCTGGAGTGAAGCTCAAAGTAGAGACCAGGTTGAAGGTTCCATCATCAGACACATAGTATCTGCTGAGGGTCGCCTTACTTGTTACATTGACATTGTTCTTGGTCCAGGAAACTTCAACATGTGCTGGGTAGAATCCAGTGATGTAACAGATGAGGGTGTTTTTAGAGCCCAGCTCCACATCGTCCTTGGAGTAGATGGAACTTTGTGGAGCATCTGTGGGTAAAGAAGTTATATATGTTTACATTTTTTATGTTAATATTGCGATCGTATATCATTCTGTTCAGTAAACCTACAGTTTCATTACAGACACACATGTTGGGTCTAAATAAATTTGACTCTTTTTCAGTAATAATTTACACTGACATGCCAAAAGTCATGGGACAGGAACTAGTATCGTGCAGGACCCCCTCTAGCCCGGCGAAGTGCAGCAGCTTGACATGGCATCGATGCCACAAGTTGAAGAAGACGCCTGGAGGGATGCTGAGCCATGCTTGGGCCTGATGACACAGTGCATTATCCTGCTGAAATATCCCATCATTAAGTCCATGAAGGGCTGCAAATGGTCATCTAGCAGTGGAACAGTCAATGCCAGACCAGTGGACCCAGCCCATGCCATGAGAACACCCCCACACCAGTGTGGAACCACTACCAACCAGTCTGCACAGTGCCTTGTGACAAGTGGGGTCCATGGCTTCATGGGGTCTGCGCCCCACATGAACCCTACCATCAGCCCAAAACAATTGGTACCATGACTCGTTGGACCTCGCTACATGTTGCCAGGCGTCTAGAGTCCAGTTGGCAACCTCACGATCCCAGGTGAGGCACTGTGTCCGGTGTTGTGGTGTTAACAGAGGCACTTTGGTGGGTCTTCTGCTCTCATAACCTAGAACGCTGCACTGACCTGTGGGATATGCATGTGGGGCCTCCTGCATTAAATGTGGAGTTGCTTGTCTGTTCGCATGGACGATTCTAGCCAGACGCCACTGGTCATGATTATTAAGCACCCATGGATGGCCACTGTGCTGTCCATTGTGGGTGGTAATGCCTTCTATGACATATTCGCGGTACACATGTGACACTGTGGATCGAGGAAAGTTAAATAGCCGCACATCAAACTCTGTGCCTTGTTCAAACTCTGATAATTCCCGTCGCCTTGCTATGAGCACACTGACCAGCGTTCAGCCTCACTCACAAGATAACACCTCACAACTTATACAGGTGTTGGTGTTCCCCAGCCTGAGGTAACACCACTTCGTAGTCAGTTTACACACTGCTATCCCATGACTTCTGTCATGTCAAGGTATTCTGAGTGGTCCTTTGTAGATGATTAATAAGATCTTAACAGAGTATCTGTAACATATCAATGAAGTATCAGTAATGCAGTAACTAATCCTAACCCTAACCTTATCCAATCTAATCTAAACCTAAATCCCAAATCCCCTAAATCTAAACCAAACCTAACCCTAACTTTAACCTTAACCCAAAACCTAATCCAGTGAAGCTCCAGGTACTGAATGGTGTCTGTAACAGCTTGGTGAGGATGTTAAGGTGGTCAGTATTAAACCTGTTACATGTTCAGTTCCTCTCAGATTAAACATCAACAGATTGTCAGGGAACAGTTAGGGAACCAGTCCTGTGACTGGAAGGCCACTGGTTTGATCCCCTGAGCCAACAGTACTTGACTGAAGTGCTCTTGAGCAAGGCACCTAACCCCCAACTGCTCCCCGGGCGCTGTGGATAGGGCTGCCCACCACTTTGGGCAAGTGTGCTCATTGCCCCCCTAGTGTGTGTGCATTCACTAGTGTGTATGTGGTGTTTCACTGCACCGATGGGTTAATTGTGGAGGTAAAATTTCCCCGTTGTGGGACTAATAAGGGTCTCTTAATCTTAGTGCTATTTAGATGTTTCTTACAGGTGAACTGATCAAACTGAATATTCTTATTACTAAAATATTTCTATTGATTTTTTTTGATGGAGTACGCAAGAACAACAACAAATAAAACAATCAGAAAAAAGCATCCCAACGACACCACTGGGACAAACTGTTTACTAAATATTACATATGTGTCTGCGAACATTACATTTAGGTCATAAACTCACACATTTATTCATACAGATGTCAAAAGGTGGGCAAGTGCAGCATGAGGAGTCATGTGAAAGTACTTTTCCTGGTATAACAGCAACATGTTTGTGTCTGAACGGTAAAATATCCAGCCTCTCCTGTGTTGGGCCACATTGCAGTAGTTAAGACTTAAAATCAGTAACCATATAATCTGTAATTCAAACCCAGTTATCATTGTGTTTTGAACACAGCGCTGTTTTTTTCAGTGCTGTTACTGATGGATAGCACTCCCTCTCCTGTATTACTGCATTATTTATAATAAGTGTCGGTAAACCAATAGAAGCAACATAGACAAAGAAGCACAAAGACTGTGTGCAAACTCAAGTTTGAACTTACTTACCAGTAAAAACAACAACAATAATAAAAATAAACTAAACTCTTACGCAGATCTGATTAAGCTACTTAAAAGGGGGCTTCTTCCTCCATTTCCCCCTATAGTTAACCTTGCAAAGTAACTTTTTCCCTGAACTGTCGTGATACAGTTGTAACATACACAGCTATTGATACGTATGATTTTAATAAGTCATTTTCTGTGCATGATAACTTGACTATGTTTCATGAACCTGTGAATAACTGTCCTGCGGTGACACTCATGTCTTACCTTTTGGTTCGGCAGGGTATTTGTAACATTTTACACTGTTAGCCAAGTTTTTCTGACAGGTTTCCACGTCAATAAGAGCGATCTCATAGGTTGATTTGGAATAGCAGAAAGGATCTGCAAATGCTGGCAGGGTCATCACTCCTTTCCCCTGACTGAAGTCGGCGTGCCACTTTTCTTCTCCATCAAGTCCGTATATGTACTGTTTCTCGGTCTCAGAGCACAGGAGTATGTAGGTGTCTTTGTGCTGAACTGAGGAAAAAAGAAGGAGAAAAGAACATCAGTACACACATTCACACACACTGGTTTAACCCTTTGTGAATGGACAATAAATGGCTATTTCTGCTCATAACTTTTCTTTTTATTATTATTGGTGGCTATTGTGGAACAGGATCTGCATTCCTAGGTCTTTTCCCAAACATATTCATGAATAAATATCAGCCTTTAGTTACTTAAATCATTTTCCTGTAGAATGTGTTCTTACTTTCTAAATATTATGATTGAGTAGGAATATAAATAAAAACCACTAACTTATTTTTTCAGATTTTTTTGTTCAAGTCTCTACTTGAAATGTGCACATTGTGTGAGTTTTTGTGCACTTAGTGCATCATTTTACTCTTTTTAAATGAAATATTATCATTGCAATGTGTCTTGATGCTGTATTTGTAGCGGCTCGAAAATAAACACTCCCCAAGGAGTCACAGTCATGACTAGTGATAATAATATCATGTCTGTTTATAAATATGTGAATCACTCATTAAATGAATTAGTTATCTGGGTTATTTGCCACTCATATCTCACTAACCTGAGTGCTGAAAGTGCAGATTCTAAACTCCAGTTCACATTTGTACTTTGTGGAAATTGTCACGCTTCCCGGTTCTCAACCAGACTCACTTCAATATGAACTCCAGTTCCCAAGATCCCTCAGGTTAATATATCATCAATCATCTGTCAACCAGCAGATCCAAGTCACCTGAATACTGATTGTCATCACCTGTATAACTGTGTTTAAACCTGTCTGTTTCATTGATTTGCGTTTACATGCACTCAGTAATCCGATCAACACGTTTACATGCACTTGAGTAATCAGATAATGGGAAACTCTGGGTCTACGTGAGTCAGACTGTAATCAGATTTCTGCTTTACAACCAGCCAATAAACTCACAGAAGCAGACGTGACGTAAATGTAATGTCAAACTCAAACTTCATGCTGCGGCTTTTTTTTTAATAATCATGCTACTTTACCTGAAAATATGAACATACATCATCTAGAAGATGAAGAATATTTAAGTCCTTCATTACATTGAGAATGTAGTCGGTTTCAGCATTGCTCCAAAAGTGTTTTCCTGCATTTCGGGGCAACATTGCTCACTTATTTCTGGTGTTGCCATCTGTTTTCACACATGCGCAGACTGAGAAATCCGAAAGAAATCAGAGTAAGAGTTCACATGCACTGAGAAATCTGATTACTGAGCTAAAATCCAGCTCTCTTTATCAAATTCCTTAATTGGATTTCTAGATCGGAGTATGGTGTTTACATGACCATTTGAATAATCAGATAACTGCAGAAGTCCAATTATGATCTGATTATAATGATATGATTATAGTAAATTAACATGCTTAATGTTTAAGAAAAAGCAGGTGTAACATACATGGTCATTTTTATATATGCTGTACAGAAATGAGGCATAATATATTTTTAATAATATATTATGCCTCATTTCTCATTTAACAAAATATATTTTTATAATTAATATATATATATATATATATATATATATATATATATATATATATATATATATATATATAAGGTGTTTTTATTTTGAAAAATGTATCTCAATAAAGGTATATGGTAAATGTTGATTGAAACATTCATTAACATGTTATGAAGTGTGTATGTAACATGTTATGAATGTGTTATGTTCAACTAACGTGTTACCAGATCTAGTCTAGGATGCTGAAACTACTCATTCACTCCCTTAACCTCACAGTACAACAACAACATCTAACAACATTTGTTTCAGGGCAGATCTGTTTGAAAATCGAGTTCATTTCTACTGATTTAACTGTTCTGAATATAAGTGCATTAAAAAACGTAGAGCTAAAGGCTGGAAGCAGATACTGTACACATGTCCTTGCTCTATATGTTTTCCAATAGAGCGACATCACAGTGGAGGAAAAGCTCAGCTGATGAAGTGAAGTGCTACAAAGCAAAGCCTAAGTAAGTGCATTGTAGGGAAAAGTTTCCACTGACTTTCCCCTCAACTACAGACCACCAGACCATTCACTCAGATAAGATAATAGCTTCCATCAGTGTTCAGAGTCAGGACAGTAAACCTAGTATATACTCAACAACCAGCACTACAGTTCACTATTAAATAGTGTAATATTCACTCTTACTCACTTTTAGCCTCTGTGGAGAGAAGAACTGACCAGACGAGAATCAAACACAGCTTCATTTTGATCAGCGTAAAGGAAACAAACTCATACTGACTGAATACAGTCTGCCTGTTCCTCTCTCTCTAACTGAGACCCCTCAGTAAATCATCCAATAGGATTATTACTTCAGTGACACTGCAATATCTGGGTAAGTTAAGCTTTCAGTCCCTTGATATTTTAGACTGCACAAGCAGCACAAGCAGCACAAGCATTACAGTAATAATAAAATACATTTTTGTTCTCTTTTGATATACAAAAATGATTGTGTATCATAATACAATAAAGTATTGTGATCTACAAAACACTGTATATGTATGATATGACTGTATATATATATATTTTTTTTCTCTCTCTTTTTTAGTGCAGGGTCACAATGTGCACCAGTAAAAGAGGGCATTTAGACTTATGGGATGTTGTGGGGGTCCTGATACAAAACTCTTTTGTCTATGCACTTAACTACTTACCAAGCCAAGTTTTATTACACACTTCTATAACCTAAGAAATGCTCCATTAGTTTGTATTGAAGTCCCTGTAGTTACTAAATAATAAACCTTGGTATGTAATAAGCCTGGAATGAGCCCCCTTTTACCCTGTTCGTCAGTGGTCAGGACCCCCATGGACCCTCACAGAGCAGGTACTATTTCAGTGGTGGATCATTCTCAGCACTGCAGTAACACTGATGTGGTGGTGGTGTGTTAGTGTGTGTTGTGATGGTACGAGTGGATCAGACACAGCAGTGCTGCTGGAGTTTTTAAACACTGTGTCCACTCACTGTCCACTCTATTAGACACTCCTACCTTGTCAGTCCACCTTGTAGATGTAAAGTCAGAGACGATAGCTCATCTGCTGCTGCACAGTTTGTGTTGGTCATCCTCTAGACCTTCATTAGTGGTCACAGGACTCTGCCCACAGCACGCTGTTGGCTGGATATTTTTGGTTTGTAGACTATTCTCAGTCCAGCAGAGACACTGAGGTGTTTAAAAACTCCAGCAGCACTGCTGTGTCTGATCCACTCGTACCAACACGACACACACTAACACACCACCACCACATCAATGTTACTGCAGTGCTGAGAATGATCCACCATCCAAATAGTACCTGCTCTGTGAGGGTCCATGGGGCTCCTGACCACTAAAGCAGGGCCATTAAATAACATAGTGAAGTAAACTGATTTATTTAGTTAGGAATCTTCAACTCATTTGTTTATTTAGGAATCAGAATTTATCAATCCTTATGCCCAATAATAAAAAAAATAATATTCAGCTGATCTGGATTGAAGCAGCTTTTAAAATCTCTTTTAGGGATAAAATAAATATCCTTCCTTGAATTAACTTTTACATTTTTACACATTTTTTTTGTTTTCTCTTTCTGTGCCCTCAAATACACTGACGAGGTGAACTGCCTGATATCTAAATTTATATATAAGGATTAAGGCAGATGGTAGAAAGAGATTGGCAGTCTGTCTTAGCATAAATGAAATCTCTATTATATAAGACTGCAGCCATTTGACTAAACACAGACTCAAGAGCTCCCTGGAGAGAAAAAAAGTATTTGCCTTTGGTGATTTGTTTAACTGCTTAAATGATCAGGACCCACCAGCAGGCCCAAAGTTTTATTACACACTTCTATAACCTAAGAATAGCTCAGGCAGTTTGCACTGAAGTCCCTGAACACTCTCAGAAATAAAGGTTCTAAACTGTCACAGGGGCAGGACCCCTCCTGTTACTGGGGCGGGACCCTCAATGATACATCTCAGTACCTTTAGTCAGGGAACATAACTGCACCATAATCCACTGAAGGGATATTCTCGAAGTTGTACTGACTCCACACACCCCGTCTCGTCTCCAGGCTTTTATTTTACTGTTCTGTTTTAAAACATTCGGTTATGAAAAGGTACAAATACAAACTTTTCACCTGGAAAAACTTATTTAAGGTTCACAATCAGACCTTAAAACTACTGTTGTACCTTTGAGGGAACATTTAGATTGTTTATACCTTGATGAATGAAAAATGAGCCTGCATAGAACCTTTATTTCTGACAGTGTAGTTTCTGGATAATATGCCTTAGTATGCAATAAGCCTGGGATTTTAAGGGGTCTGTGCATATATTCAGATATGAAAGATGAAAAAAAAATCCTGTATATCTTAGGCTCAGGTCAGCCATGAAGGCATATGGACACCCTGGGAAACTCCACTTTCCTCATTCCTTGACAATACGCACCAAAGTGATAAGAGGGGGCAGTGTTGATCGTGTCTGCCACGTCTGGGGATTTAAACCGCTGTTAGAAAAAAAACTTCACAAGTCAAAGCGCCGTTTCCAGTGTCGATAAATGTAGCATCATTATGCCAGTTATAGTGAACTGAGCTGACTGTCACTGCATAAAACAATAGAAACAGACGGTTAAAGAGAGATTAAGATGCTCAGGGGTTTACCTTAAAGTTAGGACAGAGTTTAGGAGATTTAGTCTAGGTAGGATGTTTCTGTAATACTGTTTTCCTATCTGGAGTTAATAGATAAGATGATGAGCTTCTGTCCTAACTGAAGTTGTCATGGTGACTAAACAGATAAAATAAGATTTCAGACTTAAGACGTTTCTGTAATACGGCCCCTGGATCTTAACCGGATTAGGGTTTGGTTAACGTTAAGGTTAGGATTAGGACCAGGGTGAGGGTTAGGATTAGGTTTTGGGTTGAGGTTAGGATTAGGATTAGGACCAGGGTGAGGGTTAGGATTAGGTTTTGGGTGAGGTTAGGGTTAGGATTAGGACCAGGGTGAGGGTTAGGATTAGGTTTTGGGTTGAGGTTAAATTTAGGATTAGGATTAGGGCCAGGGTTAGGATTAGGTTTTAGGTTGAGGTTAAGGTCAGGGTTAGGATTAGGGCCAGTGTTAGGGTTAGGATTAGGTTTTGGGTTCAGGTGAAGGTTAGGATTAGAGTCAGGGTGAGGACTAGGATTAGGTTTTGATAGGTTCTGTCCATGTTGTCCACCCTCACACACACACACACACACACACACACACACACACACATATATACAAACAAACACACACACACACACACACACACACATATACAAACAAACACACACACACACACACACACTAACAGCAGGCCATGTAGGAGGTGAACAGAGTGAAGGACACAGCACCTCCACACTTTTACTCCCGGCAGGTTCACCCAACACCACATGTGTAACAGAGATATGTGGGGGGTGAACAGAGTGAAGACACTGAAAATGGGTTATTTTATATGTTCTTCACAGGAAGTTAGCAAAGGTCAATAAATCTGAGGTTGAAGAAATAATAAATCACGTCTTTTTTTTCTTTCGGTAAACATTGAAAATTGGTCCCATAGACCCCAACACCACTTCACCTTGCAGCGACTTTACACAAGGACTACTGTTCCAGTACTCTGCAGTCCTCACTCCACACTCTCTGAATCCGACAAACTTCCCCACTGTGCTGGTGAACGGAACCCCTGGATGAAGTTCTAAGATATACCATATCTGTCAGATCTGGAGAGCTGGTAATGCATCCATCTAACCAGGACAAATAATATCTACCTGGCAATGAAACTGAGAAAAAGGCAAATAAACATATACGTTACAAAACAATAGTAGGCCAGTCAAACAGATATAAATTCATGCTTCATAAACATAGAAATAATACAATAGACTATATGATCTATATTCCATACAAATGTGCTTAAATGCAAACATACTAGTCTGTAAAAATGTCAGTGGGAGCAGCAGCTGCAGACTCAGCAACATTGTTTTTGGCTCTACATCAGCTGAAAGTTTGAGAGTGAGTTCCAGTTCATAGTGACTCTTCAGTTCACTGACCAATCAGAATCTGCTACACCACTTCATCACAGATTACTAAGTAGAGTCATAGACACATTTAAGACTAGATGGCTTAACATCTTACATGGCCATTTCAGTTTTATTATACACTTCTATAACCTAAGAATAGCTTAACCAGTTTGCATTGAAGTCCCTGTAATTCCTGAATAATAAGCCTTAGTATGTAATAAGCCTGGGATTTTAAGGGGTTACTAGTTAAGTACAGAGTTGAGATGTTCTAAGATGTCCCAATATTTCTGCAGTTGTTTATATTTAATTTCCCACAGTAGTATCTCTACTTTTTTTCTTTGCCAGTGTGTGTTTCAACTGTTATGAATGCCAGCTTACAGTAATAAGCACTTCATACACCAGGCGTATACAACTTGCGTAATGAATGTAGCCAAATTTCCATTCGTGTATTTTATACTGTATAATATTTCGATAACACTTTCTATGAATGTTATGTCTATAAGAACTTATAAACACACTCATAATACATTATAATGCATTCATAAGGCATCAAAACATGGCTATAAATATTTATAAAAATGCATTACATGTTATAGCCATGCTCATAATGCATTATGAGTTGTTAACATAATGCCTCCAGTATTACGAGTGAGGCTTCAAGTTGAAGTATTTACTGAAGGACTTACTGCAAACCTGCAATGTAAAAGTACAGCACATTACAGGCTTCAAATATCAGATTTTAAACTAGTGCTGCCATCAATAGTGTTTTACCCAATTTAAGTCAATGTACACCACCGTTAGCTTGGCACTAACGTAACACTGCATATCCAATAGAGTGCTAGCAGAAATTAGCATTACTGTAGTGTAGTGATGTAATAAAGTTCAAGCATCTCACCAGGACTTCATTCCACAGTAACTTCATGCCTGGTGTGATGTCAGAGGGGAGGGTCTGGTGTGCTGTGATGTAATGTAACATTTAAAGTGAGAATGCTGGTTAAGAAAAGCACATTGTAGCAATAATTCTAGGACAGCCTGTTTGGAGCATCCAAATATTCAGGACTTTACTCCCGAAAATGCAGCCCTAACAGCACCAGTGGTGGGAAATAAAATATTGGAAATCCAATAGTGTAAAAAACTGTATTTGTCTTTACACTCTCCAAGCTGGGACTGACTTCTTTGGCGCTGACAATATATCATGTTATTAACACTACTTACAATGCATTATGTTAACAATTCATAATGTACAACAAATGGTAATTAATTTTTTATAAACATTTATAACCATGTTTATAATGCTTTATGAATGCATTATAACAGGTTATGAATGTGTTTATAGATGCTTACAAACGTGGCATTCATAGAAGGTGTTATCAATGTTTCTTATCCCATAATAACTGTGATATTTTTAAATATCTGTTGCTTTTCTCTCAGTTTACAGTGACTGATGATAATTTCAGGCAAGGATATTATGCAAATACCTCATAGCCCTCTTATTATAAGCCCAATGACACCTGTGTACGCTTGTCAAATTACAGAAATACAACAAGTAATTGTGTCCCAGGTTAAGATCATTACACAACAGTGTAGAAGCATAGGACCTGAGACATAAAATATATTTACAATCCTAACTTTTTCATACTCATACGGATGTCACCCATTATGATATGATTTATGTCTTACTATTTAGCATTACTCATTAGCAAGCCATTTTTAAATAAATTGTTTATAGCAGCTCTATATCAATCCAGAAGATATGAAAAATATGAAAAAAGCTTCCAAAAGCTTCCTCACAGTAAAGGGAAGCAAGTTTTCTGACATGGATCAGGCAGGAATCAGGCACAGATCTTTAAATTATAGCCCCCGGGGCACAAATGTTTAGTGGGCCCTTACCTAGAACCTTTTTCTTTGGTGATCAAGGAAATTTTTATCACAGCATCACAGCAAGTTATATGAGATTGGTGCAGTACCATGATGCCAGCATATTAACAGTGGTAACATAAGGGCTGAAGCAGGTTGCAAATGTGAAGAGGCTTCATTAGGAGTATTTCAATACCTAAAGTCCGTTTAACAGGCAGAGGCCAAAACACAAACAGGCAATAGCAAAAGCCAGATTTATGTTCACAAAACCAGGAGACAAACAAGGGTCAAAACAGAGAAAACAATGCAAAAGGAACAGGCTCAGAAACCCAGGTTAACAACACAGAGACTTCACAACCTCTAAACCAAACAAAGGGGTTTCTTTGAGATAGAGTTAACAAGTCAAGGATGACTTGCAGCTGTGCAAGAAAATGTTTTTGAATGTTCTGACCAAGCTGTGGGCTTATGACACACAACATTTAAAACAGGTTATCTGTCATTTTCGTTCTCCATTCCCCTCCCCATGCTCCCCTAGTGCCACTTGAAGTCTGTGTGTGTCTACAATGAATTGTAGATTTAAAAGATATTATTTTGTAATTCACTTCGTATATTCACCGAAACAAGATTTCTAAGGGCAGATTTTCTAATGTGAATTAATGTAAAGTTAAATTATTCATAATATACTTGCTGTTTTTCTGATAAGTTCATTTAGTCTGTGTTAATCTGTATGCTACTAATCAATAAATATAGATATTATTACATCTAAACAGGTCAACCCCTGCACTGTATATGTGATTATAAGGCTAGTACTGTTATCCTCTTGTTCATTTTTTCCAGAACTGAGTTTATCTGCCCAGGTTGCATGATAATGTGCAGTGTGGCAACTTGCTATTTTCTCAATTTCCTCTGTCAGACACAGAAGCGCCCCTAGGGATTTCGAAAAGATATCACATTGGGCCCCATGAGCCTACCACCACAGACCACGTCAACCTTGAAAGTATTACACTGTGCAGACACGCATGCAACATTTTGCATACAGAGGAATTGACTATTTGATTCGATACTGATAGCCTCTATGAGTAATGTGTTAAAGGCCATCTTTTACAGTTTAAAAAATAAATTCCCACACATCTCCTGCAATTATAGCAATGGACAAGTCATTAAATACAATGCAGCTCACCTCCTTCTTCAGTTGAAGTAGGGCTGCTTTACTGGTAGGCGTATGGGGATGGGGAGACAGGGCTGGTTCATTGGTAGGGGTATGGGGAAAGGGAGTAGGGCAGGTTCATTGGTAGGGGTATGGGGATGAGGAGACAGGGCTAGTTCATTGGTAGGGCTATGGGGATGGGGAGTAGAGCAGGTTCATTGGTAGGGGTATGGGGAAAGGGAGTAGGGCAGGTTCATTGGTAGGGGTATGGGGATGGGGAGACAGGGCTGGTTCATTGGTAGGGGTATGGGGATGGGGAGACAGGGCTGGTTCATTGGTAGGGGTATGGGGATGGGGAGACAGTGCTGGTTCATTGGTAGGGGTATGGGGATGAGGAGACAGTGCTGGTTCATTGGTAGGGGTATGGGGATGGGGAGACAGTGCTGGTTCATTGGTAGGGTTATGGGGATGTGGAGACAGGGCTGGTTAATTGGTAGGGGTATGGGGATGGGGAGACAGTGCTGGTTCATTGGTAGGGTTATGGGGATGGGAGACAGGGCTGGTTTATTGGTAGGGGTATGGGGATGGGGAGACAGTGCTGGTTCATTGGTAGGGTTATGGGGATGGGAGACAGGGCTGGTTAATTGGTAGGGGTATGGGGATGGGAGACAGGGCTGGTTTATTGGTAGGGGTATGGGGATGGGGAGACAGTGCTGGTTCATTGGTAGGGTTATGGGGATGTGGAGACAGGGCTGGTTAATTGGTAGGGGTATGGGGATGAGGAGACAGGGCTGGTTTATTGGTAGGGGTATGGGGATGGGGAGACAGGGCTGGTTTATTGGTAGGGGTATGGGAGACAGGGCTGGTTTATTGGTAGGGGTATGGGGATGGGAGACAGGGCTGGTTTATTGGTAGGGGTATGGGGATGGGAGACAGGGTTGGTTCATTGGTAGGGGTATGGGGATGAGGAGACAGGGCGGGTTCATTGGTAGGGGTATGGGGATGAGGAGACAGGGCTGGTTCATTGGTAGGGGTATGGGGATGGGGAGACAGTGCTGGTTCATTGGTAGGGGTATGGGGAAAGGGAGACAGGGCTGGTTTATTGGTAGGGGTATGGGGATGAGGGGACAATGCTGGTTCATTGGTAGGGGTATGGGGATGGGAGACAGAGCTGGTTTATTGGTAGGCGTATGGGGATGAGGAGACAGGGCTGGTTCATTGGTAGGGGTATGGGGATGAGGAGACAGGGCTGGTTCATTGGTAGGGTATGGGGATGCGGAGACAGGGCTGGTTTATTGGTAGGGGTATGGGGATGTGGAGACAGGGCTGGTTTATTGGTAGGGGTATGGGGATGAGGAGACAAGGCTGGTTTATTGGTAGGGGTATGGGGATGTGGAGACAGGGCTGGTTTATTGGTAGGGGTATGGGGATGTGGAGACAGGGCTGGTTCATTGGTAGGGCTATGGGGAAGGGGAGTAGGGCAGGTTCATTGACAGGGGTATGGGAATACATGGTTGGTTCATGCCCCTACTAATAAACCAGCCCCGTCTCCTCATCCCCTTACTCCTACCGCTGAACCAGTCTGCTGGCTTAACCCCTGCTGAAAAGATTATTATACATAATTGGTTTCATCCCAATATGTAACTATGGCAACAATTGTTACTATTCTATTATGATATTGTTTCCCTGCAGCAGTGCACTGCAATGATAAACAAAGATAAATCAGGTACAGTACTGGTGTGGGATGCGATAAAATTAGCTCTGAACAATTTAATACTTGCCCATTAGATGTTTTTAGTATGCAGAGTGTTGTATGCATGCATACACAGTGTTACATTTTCAGGGTTGGTGTGGCCTGTAGTGGTAGGGTGGTGGGGCTCAGTATGATATCTTTTCATGGGGTCCAAAATCCTTGGTGGCACCCCTGGGACTTAAGATAGGTTTGATTGGCTCATTCACTGATGTTGGCAAGGCTAATCTCGCCCCTTGTAGTATGGCACACAGCTTGTGTTCTGTATACTTCTGATGAAGAGTAGCATACAGTATTCAGAATATACTGATGCAGTATACAGTATACCGTATGGTTTTTTGAATAGTGCTGTTCATTCACTCAGAGCCTCTGGTCTCTCTGTTCGCACCCTGTTATGCTTTTTACACCAAAGATTGCCATCTTCCCCCTGGAGGAGGGTCTGTGGCTGTGGTCTCATACTTCAAAATTTCTCATGAATTATGTCATCTAGGAAATTGTCGCATACTGTTTGATAAACACCACGTATTTGGATACACAAACTATTGTCACATACTGCTTTTGTCACACTTAAATTGCATTTTAGACTACCTGGATATATCTGACTGTAAATGGGTCAAGGTGCCATTTTGGACAGTTTATAGACACACAGTCCTACAGTAAGCTATTTTTCAGAACATATTCAACAGACTTTATGAGCTTTGTGGCTTCCATATGTTCAGTATTTTGCAGTCAGCTTGGTTTGCTTCTCTTCTTCCATGTGAGTTTTTCCTTGATTCTTTTTTCTTTATTAATATGAGCTTCAGCTGCAAAGGATCCTCACTATGAAGTGTAATATACACTCACAACCACTAGATGTCACTCATTTGCTCCACATTTCTGCAGCTGCTGCAGGAAGAGATCTGTGAGCCTGTGTAGTGCTTGCAGTCTTATCCAGAATTTGGTAACAACTTCTAAACTTCATTTACACAGTATTTGAAACCATGAAACTCAACTGCTCTCAAAGTGGAGATGGAGAGGGAATCCACATGTCAGCACTCACAGCATAACAGCAGTGAGAATGCTGACATTATAACCTGCAGCTCTACAATAAACGATAAAATAAGATATGATAATCCTTTATTAGTCCCACAACGGGGAAATTCTCAGTGTTACAGCAGCAAAGGGAGAGCAGGGCACTCAAGAAAAGAAGTAACAGGAAGAGAATTAACAAGCCAGTAATTAACCTTATTAATTACTTAACATGGTTACAGTTTGTAACTTATTACTTTATAGACAATATAGACCGAACAGGCGTAACATGATGACCACCTCTTTGTTTCTACGCTCATTGTCCATTTTATCAGCTCCACTTACTATATAGGTGCACTTTGTAGTTCTACAGTTACAGACTGTAGTCCATCTGTTTCTCTGATACTTTGTTAGCCCCTTTTTACCCTGTTCTTCAGTGGTCAGGACCCCCATGGACCCTCACAGAGCAGGTACTATTTGGGTGGTGGATCATTCTCAGCACTGCAGTAACACTGACGTGGTGGTGGTGTGTTAGTGTGTGTCGTGCTGGTACGAGTGGATCAGACACAGCAGTGCTGCTGGAGTTTTTAAACACTGTGTCCATTCACTGTCCACTCTATTAGACACTCCTACCTTGTCAGTCCACCTTGTAGATGTAAAGTCAGAGACAATAGCTCATCTGCTGCTGCACAGTTTGTGTTGGTCATCCTCTAGTCCTTCATCAGTGGTCACAGGACTCTGCCCACAGGACGCTGTTGGCTGGATTTTTTGGTCGGTGGACTATTCTCAGTCCAGCAGTGACACTGAGGTGTTTAAAAACTCCAGCAGCACTGCTGTGTCTGATCCACTCGTACCAGCACAACAAACACTAACACACCACCACCACTATGTCAGTGTTACCGCAGTGCTGAGAATGATCCACACAGGAAATGGTGATGAATTCCACAGTTTACCTTCTGTAGGTGTGTGAGGTCTAATGGAGGGTGGAGGAGGTTCTACTGGGAGCAGTACTGGTTGTACAGTCTAACAGCAGCAGGAAGAAAGGACTTGTCATGGTGCTCCTTCACACACTTGGGGTGAAGCAGCTGGTCACTGAAGGAGCTGCCCAGTGCTGCCAGAGTCTCATGCATGGATGCTAGTCTGGCTAATATCCTCCTGTCTCTCACCACCTGCACTGGGTTTAGGGGGCTTCCCAGGACAGATCTGGCCCTCTTAATGAGGCTGTCAAGTCTCTTCCTGTCCGCATTTGAGATGCTGCTACACCAGCAGATGGCTGCTGCCACAACGGTGTTGAAGAAGGTCCTCAGGAGCGCCCCCTGCGCTCCAAATGACCTCAGTCTCCTAAGCAAAGGTCAACAATTACAGAAAATCAAAGCAATAAGTATCTTTAGAGTTGTGCTGTGGTGTGGAAAGCTGAGCAGAATCAGGAAAAACCAGTTTGGAAAAGTCCTGCGAGCTTCACAGTGATCACAGTGCAAAATCTGTAAGGCTTTGCAAAGGCTAGTCTGCATTTCTGAACATGGGAGGAATCAGGAAATACAGATGTTTTTTTACAATAGGTCTATTAATAGCAAAACAGTGTTTGTATAAAAGTTCCCCAAAACAGTGTTTCTGAAATGGACCTCATGAAACAACTGTGTTGCTTAATTTCTCAGAAATGTGAATGAACAGGCAAGTCTACATAAAAGTTGCTTGTCTGTATTAACGGTGCTTTATATAAAAAAGAGACACCAAAAGCACATACAGCCAGGTCCATAAATATTTGGACAATACATACATTATTGTTATTTTAACTGTTAACCACAGCATGTTGGAGTTTATTAACTAATGAATATGGGTGCAGACTTTCAGCTTTAATTTGACAGCAGTTTCATCCAAATCAGATGAACGGTGTAGAAATTACAGCTATTTTTATACACCCCTCATTTTTAGTGGTTCAAAAGTAACTGGACAAACTAACATGGTCACAAATTGTCATTTTTAATACTTGGTTGCAGTCAAAGTCTTTCAGTCAAGGACTGGCTGAAGTCTGGAACCCACAGACATCACCAGATGCTGGGTTGCTTCCCTGATGATGTTCTGTCAGACGTTTACTGCAGTTTTTTTCAGTTCCTTCTTGTTCTTGGGGCGTTTTGGACCCTCAGTTTGGTCTTCTGTAAGTGAAATTCATGCTCAGTTAGACTGACGTCAGGTGATTACTTTGGCCATTGCAGAACATTGCAGAACATTCCACTTCGATAAATTCAAGGGAACCAATTCCTTTGGCAGCCATACATTCTCACACCATAAAACTGTCTCCACCATGCTTCGCGAATGAGGTGGAATGCTTTGGATCATGAGCAGCTCCTTCCTTTCTCCATACTCGTCTCTTCTAATCATTCTGGTGCAAGTTGATCTGCATTAATAAGACATTGTTCTAGAAATGTAAAGACTTTTTTAGATGTTTTACCAGTGGTTTAAATCTTTAGGTAAGCACTCTCTATTTACTCTGATAAGTCCTGATTGTTGACTTTGATACGCTGACTTCCTGGAACATGTTCTTAATCTGGTCAACTGCTTGTAAGGGGTTTTCTTCACCAGGAAATTCATTCTTTTGTCATCTACCACAGTTGTTTTCTGTGGTTCTCTGGGCCTTTTGGTGTTTCAGAGCTGACAAGTGCATTCTTTCTTTTTAAGAATGTATTAAATAGTTGATTTGGCCACACTTTCTCACACTTTCGCTCTTTCTCTGGTGGGTTTGTTTTTATTTTTCAGCCTAGTAAGAGCTTTTTTCACTGGCAGTGAAGCTCTTTAAACTTCATATTGAAAGTTAACAGCAACATAATCCAAATGGATTCAAGAACTTTGTTCTGCTTTATTGTAAATTAAATAATGAGAGAATAACACACACCTGGCCATGGAATAGCTAAGCAGCCAATTGTCCAATTACTCATGAGCCACGAAAAAAGGAGGACTATGTGTGAAAATAGTTGTAATTCGTACGCTACATTCATTGACATTATGCTACCATAATCAAAGGCAGCCTTACAACTTTCAAACATGCTATTTGCTTTATTTCTCCTTTCTTGTCCCTCTGAAGATGTCTTTAATTGCAAAGTGCTGTTTATCCAGATACTAAGATGCTTATATAACTTATATCTGAAGTTATATGAAAGTTCCCTCCCTCCCTTTATTTAAAATGAATTTTACACCTGTGCAGTCAGTTCATGTATGGCAGTACAATTGCACCCCTCCGCCCATTACTGTCATTATGTTTTCTTAAACTAGTGCTGGATAATTTGGGCTTATGTGTTTGACCTAGGCACCTCTGTCTCTTGGTTTATCCAGGTAGAGTTATCATTATGAGCTCCGATATAAAGTCATCAGTAATGGTTGAATTTGATATGACTGAATTAATGTCTATCTTAGCATAGGAATGTTTTTAGTTCAGACCCTCATATGATGAGAGAAGAATGTTGCCTTGGACTAAGTTTTTGTCTTCTTGAAACTCAGACCCACTGATCTGCAAAGCAAACAACATCATTAGTCTGTAAACTCTCTGTTGAAAGGATTCTCTGTCTTGTTGTTTTGCATTGCTGAACTCCTGGAACACCTGGAAGGACATCCAAACTTTTGTGTATGCCACAATAAAATATATATATATATATATATATATATATATATATATATGTGTATAATCAATTTATTGTAATCAATTGTACTTTAATCTTTTATGGCTACAAAGATTTTTACTTATCAAAATATGTGACTTGGCTGGGGTTGTCCAAATATACCATTTTTTTAAGGATTGCAGTATACAAAGTTAAAAGATGTTACATGTACATCTTACAAGCTGCAACAATCAATGTTTCAGGTACAGCTGTGTAGTATTACATTTAGTGTGATAAAGTGAATATATACCACCGTTAGCTTGGTAATAATATGCACTGCAAATGAGGGCCCAACATTTGCTTACAAATGTATAAATGATCAACTGTTTGAAGATTAAAACCAACTGAATAAACAAGTGGGATCAGGTGTGATTCTACTGGAATAGAATGAAAACACCATTGTCGGTATAAAGTCGCCAGTGTTATGATGCTTTAACAGTTTCTTCTCATTCTTCGAGTCTTTTACATCAAGATATCTTACTTATCCTCTCATCACAGACTTGGGTGCATCTTGTTTTGCCTGATAGTGGCTCTGACAATAATTAGAAGTTTTCATAGCAATGAGGAACTTCTGAGTTCAAAAAGATAGAGTAAAAATAGTTTGTAGATGTTTAGGCACAACCAGGCAAAACGGGTTTGGAAACAGCCAGAGAGCCTGAAAGAATCAGGAAACAAAGAAATTCATCATATGCAAAAGTTCCCTAAAAGAAAAGGTCTGAAAAGGCAGATTTCCTTTTCAGCCTCTGTCCATTCCTGTTTCCATGCTGTCTTTCCCTAATATTAATGTGCTTATAAAGCCAGATCACAAAGCTTTAGTGTCCTTGTTTTTTCCCTGACCCCTGCACAGACTGTAAAACATTTTGCACCATGCTATGTTCTGCACACACTGCACTATATTTTACACAATACTATATGCTGTAAACACTGTACTAAATTCTTACTGTGCTATTTCTGCACAATATTATATTTTGTACACACTGTACTACATTCTGAATGTACTGTGCTATATATTTTGTGCTCACTGTACTATATTTTGCACTACACTATATTCTGCACACACTGTAATATATGTTGCATGGTACTATATTCTGAACACGCTGTACTATATTTTGCACACATTTTACTGTATTTTGCATGGTACTTTATTCTGCACACCGTACTACATGTTGTGTTCATTGTACTGTATTCTGCACACATTGTACTATATTTTGCACTGTACTTTATTCTGCAAGCATGGTACTATATGTTGCATGGTACTATGATCTGCATACACTGCACTGTATTTTACATGGTACTATGTTCTTCACACAATGTACTATAATTTGCATGGTACTATATTCTGCACACACTGTTCCATATTTTGCATGGTACTATATTCTTCACCAACTGTACTATATTCTGCATGCATTGTACTATATGTGGGATGGTATATTCTGCACACACTATACTATATTCTGCATGCAGCGTTATATGTTCTTTATAGACTGTACTATATTCTGCATGCATTGTACTATATTTTGCATAGTAATATGTTTTACACACACTGTAGTAAATACTGTTGGCCTATATACATTTTAACTTTTGCATGATACTATATCCTTCACTGTACTTTGTCTAGAGGTTAAACAAAGAGGTCATACTTAAAAAAAAAACAAAAAACATCCCAGCCACCAGACCAAAAAAAAATTCTGTCCTGCTAAACATGTTTAAGACTACATATTGACTGCAATATATTACTGTAATCAACAATATCCTCTTTTCTGAATATTATTCATATACACAGACATATTATAAAAAAATCAAACTATGTGACTGAAAAGTCACAGGCAAATGAGTCCTAATTACGTTAGATAAGCTGAAAAGCTTAGCCTGCTTCTGTTTGTTATAATAAAAGAAAGTTTCCTCACTCCTCTCACACAAGCCAGGGTTTTACAGCAACAAATATACAAATATACACATATCATATCATCTGACAGGATTTTTATCATGCATCCTACAACAAATCAACGGCATAAGCCACAACTGAAGGATTTAGTTCAGATGTTTTCCATCAAACAGGTTTCAACTTCAACATCCCCTCTCCCACATCTATGGCCCCTTAGAAGGGCAGGCTTTACATTATCTGAGCAGTTCTCATTTTTGCACTATTAGTTCTAATTGGCCAAGATATAAGAATTACAACAAACTGCTCAATATTAATTAATAATGCTCTGTATATTATGTCAGATTTTACTGATATGCATTAAAAAGGTCAGAGAAGACAAAGAAACGTGTCCACAACTTTTTTAATAAACAAAGCAAAATGGACAATTAAAAAAATAAATAAGTATATGTTGCCTTTTAACACAATAGACTTAAACTCAACAAAAAATGACAACAACAAAAAAATGAGCCAAGTCCGATATATTATGGTCTTTACAGATGGTTTTGACCTTTGATGCTAAGTCAAACAATATTGACACTTAATGTACTGTAACGAAGTACAAGTTTAAATACAGAAATACAAGTAAAACGGCTATTCATTGAATAGAGTGACTAAAGTACAGAGAATTAAAGCTGTGTTTGTCTTCACTGCTTCACCACCTGAGATTGAAGATGAGTCCTTTACATCAACACACGCACCTGAAATGATTCAGATAAACGTGTAAGAGCGTACATTTTTTTTAACTGAAGTAAACAATCAGTGAGTATTATCCAAAAAATAATGGTCAGGAAAACCAGTCCATAAATGACAAACAAAAAGGCAAAAATAGTTTACTAGCTCTTACCTTGGCATCAGGATCTTTCCTGTAAAAACACAGTAATAATTATATATTAATTAAATACCTTAAAATCAGGGTTGGAAAAAGTATTGAAAATCCCTACTTAAGTAAAAGTACTGTACTCAAGTTATCACTAAAGTAACATGTAAAAGTATTAATAAAGGACGTTACTCAAGTAAGAGTAAATAAGTAGTTTATTGGGAAACTTCTTCAGTGAGTGAGTTACTTTTTTTTGTATATCCAGCATCACAACCTGAAAATATTTCTGAATTGACTCATTGGAAATAAACAAAACTAAAGAAACATAATACTATATGAGAAAAAAGCTCTGAGTGCTGAGACTGAACACAGTGTGCATATTCACACACTTTTCTGTGAACTGTGTGAGGAACAAGGTTTGCGTTTAAAATTAAGATTTCCTAGTTCCAACAAAGAGTCCATGAAAGACTGTGCAGTGGTTTGTTAGAGAGAGAGAGAGAGAGAGAGAGAGAGAGAGAGAGGCAGGCTGTGTTCTGGGATAAACTAACTAGTCTCTGATTATGTAGTATCATCTGCAAGGTGGGATTGAGGGACAAATGTTTGGGTTCTGCTCGCTCGCTCTGCACAGCATCTGCGTGGTCATGCACTTCCAGCACGTCGCTTCATTCAAAATAAATGGATTTGAAGGCAGATTTACGGAGGACGACCCTATTCATAGCACAATTTAAAAAACTTTGCTCATAACTCATAAACACACTGCAAACACAGAAAACACTTTCATCAGCATAACTACAAACACACTGCAAATACAGAAACATGCAACTTCAGAAACGCTGCAAAGCCAGTCACAACACAATGTAAATGAGCCACAACACAATGTAAATGAGCCACAACACAACAGAAATGAGTCACAACACAACAGAAATGAGCCACAACACAATGTAAATGAGCCACAACACAACAGAAATGAGTCACAACACAACAGAAATGAGTCACAACACAACAGAAATGAGCCACAACACAATGTAAACAAGCCACAACACAACAGAAATGAGACACAACACAATGTAAATGAGCCACAACACAATGTAAATGAGCCACAACACAACAGAAATGAGCCACAACACAACAGAAATGAGTCACAACACAACAGAAATGAGTCACAACACAATGTAAATGAGCCACAACACAATGTAAACAAGCCACAACACAACAGAAATGAGCCACAACACAACAGAAATGAGCCACAACACAATGTAAACAAGCCACAACACAACTGAAATGTTTCTGTAAGACTCAAATGGCTCAAAGGGGATGAAATATCTATGATGGAAAATCAATAACAGAAGTAGATCAGACCACTGACACTCACATCCCGAGTTCATGGTTAACCAGGCCGGCTTTGCTATCTTTTGTTATACCTGTGCTGTGGTAGTTCTGTGGTGTTACAAGTTAATCTTCTACAGTTAGTCTTTACAGCTAATTCCTATTACAATACAAAGATAGTAATAATCTGCTCAAATAGAAGTTAACTTACTTTTACTGGTCAATGTTTGTGCTGCATAGAATTTAAAAGTCTGAATGGCTCCGTCCTCTTTGAGTGTTCTCCATATACGTCTCTGTTGTGTTGTGACTGGCTTATCAGTGTTTAGCATGTGTTTTCTGTATTTGCACTGCGTTTCTAAAATGTAGCATTGGTGTCGTCATTTTGATGAGACCGTTTTCTTAATTTGCAGCATGTTTGTAAAAAGCAGCGCCCATGATGTCATTTTGATGAAAGTGTTTTCTGCATTTGCAGCTCGTTTTTATCTATAAGTGCTACATGTTTGCTTCAGATTCGTGTGCTGTCTGTGGAGCCTCAACACCACAGTGAAAGTATAATTCAGACCTGAGGCCATATCTGTCTGACTATGTACAGCGTGCGCATACTTCATACTCCATCACCCGCAGCCAATGTGATCAGACTGGAATTATTGTCCACGGTGCATTTACGGTGAACCTGTATTAGAGGAGGTTTCCTGCATCACAGCCTCATACGGCTCCAAAACTGCCACAAAAACAGCTGCTATTTTATTCTAAAAGAACAAAGTTAGACAAAAACAGTACACTGTACTTGTTTAGCAAGGATTAGTTTGTAGTCAGCTAATAGCTGCTTCCTTAGAGTGGAGGCTGAGTTGTGAAGACTGGTGATCTGGGCAGGTTTCAGCAGCAGCTGACAATGTCACTGTTTTCTTTGGTTCATTTGAAAATGAATGTAGATGACAGTTTGGATAAAGTATGTTCCTTGTTCTTTCTCCTCTAAACTGGACACCTCTCATCAGGGTTTCATCAACTCATGAAGTGTTTTTGGGAGCTGCTCTGTGTTGCTCTCAGAGCTCTACCTTTTGAATTTAATCTTGCTTCTTTTAACCTCTTAAAGTTTGTCCATGACAGCAAGGTTTGGTCCACATGTGACTTTGTCATGCCCACATGTTAAGATTCACTGGTAGGCTGTTCTGTAAAAATGTGTGAGAAATGTAAAGTGTGGTGTGAGAGCGTGAGATTAGACCAAATTGCGTGATTGTCTTGGCCAACATGTGGGCACGTGTTTTCAACCTCTGCTCCAGATGGATCATTAATAATAATCTCTTGTATTTGCACTGACCTAGAAATTTCTTCTTGTAGATGTAGTAGATGAATCCAGCAGATGACAGGATGGCCCCCAACACCAGCCCTGAAGTTCCGAGAGCAATCTTGTTCCACTCAAACTCAGAAAAAGTGGAAACTTCTGTGGAATTTTACAGGTTTCAGTAATGTTAAGTACTTAGAATATCACCAGCAGCATGGAACCACCTAATGTTAATATTACTTCAGTGGTCAGGATCCACTCAGACCAGCACAACACACACTAACACACCACCACCACGTCAGTATTACTGCAGTGCTGAGAATGATCCACCCAAATAGTACCTGCTCTGTGAGGGTCCATGGGGGTCCTGACCACTGAAGAACAGGGTAAAAGGGGGCTAACAAAGTATGCAGAGAAACAGATGGACTACAGTCTGTAACTGTAGAACTACAAAGTGCACCTATATAGTAAGTGGAGCTGATAAAATGGACAATGAGTGTAGAAACAAGGAGGTGGTCATAAAATGTGACCTCAAATTTTGCAAATTCATGATTGATTTTTTAATATATTATAAACAATGTGTGTTTATTCTCACCCCAGTCGTAGATGATGGGCTCCTTGGAGCTGGCGTGCTCCACCACACAGGAGATCTTCTCTCCAGATGTGGGCGTGTATTCCAGGTGGGAGTGGGCCTGGTAGTACCAGTCTCCATCAGCCATCTCCTCTATGGAAACCATATCAGAGGTCACCTTTTTACCGTCTCTTAGCCAGTACACATCGATGGATGGGGGGTAGAAGCTGTATGCACTGCACATCATCATAGCTGGATGACCACCACTGGCCTCCTGTTGCAACCTGAGCCGGATCTTGGGCCGCACTACAAACAAGTACAGATATTATTGATACGTTTATAAAATTATTTTTAAAACATGATTATTAGCGAATCGCTGATTTAAATGATAAAACTTTAAGTAATACTCAAGTTTACTAATGAGAGGAACATCAGCCTAGAATCACAAACATCATTCATTAATCATGAACATATCTACATCAGTGGATATATTAATAATTAAATCATGTTCATTATATTAATTATATCAACTGCACTTTAAAACATGATTCACTGTTTAAAGTAAAAAAAAATTATATTTAAGCAATAGAACACGAGAGGGAGTGTGTTATCGCGAAATAACATCACGGCTGTGATTTGGTCACCGTAGATCATCACAGCCGTGATGTTATTCCTGATAACACACTCCTCGAGTGTTCTACTGCTTTTATACAGCAGTTAAATAAATAAAGTAATAAATTAATAAACTGGGTCGTGAACGCGGCGTTTAATATGTTTTAATGTTCGCAGTTCCTTCACCAAATTATAGTTCCTTAACAAGCAGCTTGTTGCTACGTCAGAGTAACGAGCTCCGCCCACTCGCTGCACAGCCGGCAGTTCGTTCTCCAGCTCCTTACACTAAATTCCCAAACTGTCATCACCACTGAGCAGGTTTCAGTCGGCAGCTGTGACAGAAGAACAGCTAAACAACCTGGAATCAGCCAGAAATGAACCCAATACCATTCGCCAAACGTGTGGTCTGATCTTCAGAGTCTGACCAAATCAGACTGAGCCATAAAACTGCCGCAATATCAAGTTTAGCTCAGTTTTGTCCGTCTTTGCCAGATCAGTATTAATGTTGTTTTGTTCCAGCCAGTCTGTAAAGCATCTTACAGCCCATTTAGTTTGGCGAATGGTGTTGGGTTTATTTCTGGCTGATTCCAGGTTGTTCAGCTGTTCTTCTGTCACAGCTGCCGACTGAAAAGCTGCTCAGTGGTGATGACAGTTTGGGAATTTAGTGTTGTCTCATCTTCAGAGTCTGACCAAATCGGCTGTCGGTCAAATGTGATCTTAAAAGTGTCCGTTTTCTGTTTGTGGCAAAGTAAGAAGTAAAAACGATCAAATGGCTGGAGCGTCTCCTACAGCTGTCAAAGTCTCAGCGGAGTGATACAGTGTTTGTGAAAAAAACGTAATGTTATGGCGAAATAACAGCACAGTTAGAACGCTTCTCAACCAACCAGCTTGCGTGGCTGGAACTAACTGCTGTATAAATATAAAATACTTAACCTGGTCATCTTAAATTTTTGAGTTCATTGAACTTCTCATAGTAAGTTTACAAAACAAAAACCTGTTTTACATTCTGTGAACTTATTATTTGAAGTTCGGTAAGTTCAACATTTTAAGGCAATCAGGTTAATTAAATTCTGTAGTTAAAGTTAAAGCTAATTAAGCTAATTAAACTAAATTTAGGATAAAAAGTTCAGTTAGTGACAGCTGATCAATATAGTTTCTACTGATTTTCTTCACAGTGTACAGTTTGTTTTAGATGTATCTGAGAATTTTTGTGATTGACAAGTCATCTGGTATAGACTAGGGATGCATCAATGCAGACATTGGTATCGGGTCTCAGCCCATTACCTGCCTGTATTTGACCTCATAAAAAGGCACTGACACCGAGATCCGATACCAGCTGGTACCATGTGACGTAGACCCAGTACATGCTGCTACACTGATGAGGTCTCCTCACAGTCACTCTTGCTTTATTAGGTCGATGCGGACAGGGGCCTTTGCTAATAATAGCCTTTGGGTTACAATTTATCTATAAATATCTATATCCTTGATGTTTATAAACTCAAAAGCCAAGGGTTTGAAGAACTTGAATTACTGCAGCACTGTAGTGTCTGATCCACTCATACCAGTGCAGCACACATGAACACACCACCATATCAGTGTCACTGCAGTGCTGAGAATGATCCACCACCCAAATAGTACCTGCTCAGTGATGGTCAAGTGGGGGTCCTGACCATTGAAGAACATAATCAAAGGGGTATAACAAAGTATGCAGAGAAACAGATCTAAGAACTAAAAAGTGCACTTTTTTATTTTCAGCAGTCTTTTCTTTGTCAAAATAGAATATAATGTTTCTTAGAGAGTACCAGTGATGTGTGGTGTTCCCCAAGGTTTGATTCTTGGGCCACTCTTATTTAATTTATATATGCTTCCTCTTGGCCAAGTCCTAGAAGACTATAGGATGTCTCACCACAGCTATGCAGATAAACTCAGATTTTCTTGGCCCAAACAACCAAACAAGTCCCCTTTACTCACTTTGTAAGTGCCTTGAGCTCATCACTAACTGGACGGGACAAAACTTTCTGCAGTTGAATAAAAACAAAACAGCACTTTTTTATTCAGGAATAGCAATGAGAGGCACAGACTAGCTGCCTATCTGGATTCAAGAGCCCTTTAGTTTTGTGTATTTGTGCCAGTCTAATTACTGTTTGGAGGCTGACCACTAATTACCAATTACTTACCTTTTTCATTAGCAGTACAGGCTGACACTGAGCCTGTCTCACAAAGCAGGATTACTTGTTACTATGCCAGCTAACTTTAAGTTTAGTTTGAAGTATGTCTGAACTTTCTTAACATGCTGCACATCTAACCTGTTCCAGGGTGTAAACAGCTCTTGGACTTTCTTTTTTCCTTTGTTGAAAAATAAGCTGGGCTCCTCATGTTTCACGCGACTGGCTGTTGCCAGTCCAAATAGATTTTGGCATACATTCTCACTTAGGCATCATGTTTCACTCTAAGTCACAACACGCAGGGACAGTGTGTCTTTGTCACAGTCAGGACCAGAATACATGAATCAGACCCCAGACAGTTTGCTGTTTCTTTTGGCATCAGTGGGTCCTGAGCTCGTAACTCATAATGGAGCCTAATCTCAACAAAAACAGTTTAAAGTAATTCTGTCTGGACATCAGCTGATATAACAGATGACATGAGGTGCATATAAGATAAATCAACTTTGCTTACATAGAAAGATGTGACAGATAAGACCATTGGCAAAGCTCTTCAGGGCATTTAAACTGAGAGAGGTAATCAGAAAGAGAGAGGTTAGTGGCAGAAGTGTTATCACATCACCAAAACAGAGTGAAATGAATGTTAAGATGGACACAGTAGGTGATGACATGTGGAAATGGTAACTCAAAATGTCTCAAAACATATAACATATTATTGTTGTTGTAACAAAACCTCATATCCTCCAAAAGGTGGCTTTACAGGAGAAGGAACCTTCTTAACTTCAAATGGAAATTAAGTAAAAACTATTTATTCCAAGTAATTTTGGACCATTTCTGTTGGTCCACTCATCAAGAAATTTTAACAGAATGTAAAGAGCAGCTGGCGATTTGAAATTATGTCAAAAATGAAAACAACAAACATGGACATATGAGGTTTTGTACCAACAGCCATGATATGTTCTGAAAATAAATGAGTTTTGCTAAAACCCAGTAAAAACATGGCTCAAAGTGGCAGTACATAGTTCTTACTAAACTTCAGTGTACAGTGGACAGAATATGCTAACGCTGGCACCAAATGTGAACTGATAAGATGTAAAAGAATTAGGAAAATTAAGAAAGGCATGTAGGCAGAAAATGTGGTAACTATTTTTTAAGAGGTCCTTTGTAATTAATACACTCTAAACAAATCATCAGTAACACAACAACAACATATCAGTGAAGTAGCAGTAGTGAAGCATCTGAATACATCAAAGCAAATATCTAAGATGTTCTGTTGATACATTACTACATTAAGTAGATGCACTGTTATGTTACAAGAAGTAGATTTAATGTTATTCCATTAAGAATTTTAGCCAACCTTACCCAAAACCCAACCCTCGCCCTGACCCTGGCCTTAATCCTAACCCTAACCTTAACTTCAACCCAAAACCTAATTCTAACCCTCAGCCTGGACCTGATCCTAACCCTAACCTTAACCTCAACTCAAAATCTAATCCTAACATTAACCATTAACCTGACCTTAATCCTATCCATCACCCTGGCCTAACCCTAAACCTAACCTTAACCTCAACCCAAAACCTAATCCTAACCCTCACCCTGGCCCTAATCCTAACCTTAACCTTAACCTCAACCCAAAGCCCATCCTAACCCTCACCCTGGCCCTAATCCTAACCTTAACCTTAATCTCAACCCAAAACCTAATCCTAACCCTCACCCTGGCCCTAATCCTAACCTTAACCTTAATCTCAACCCAAAACCTAATCCTAACCCTCACCCCGGCCCTAACCCTAAACCTAACCTTAACCTCAACCCAAAACCTAATCCTAACCCTCACCCCGGCCCTAACCCTAAACCTAACCTTAACCTCAACCCAAAACCTAATCCTAACCCTCACCCTGGCCCTAATCCTAATCCTAATTTAAACCAAACCCTAATCCAGTTAATCTACAGATCTGACCATGGTCTCCAAATAAAATTAAAAACAGCTGAATTCAGCATATTAGAAACACATTTTGTTTACACAGTTTATTAAAAGTCTCCTGATAATCCACTGAATTTATTTACTGCTACTACATCATTTATATATTGTTGTTTATGTTATTGAGAGTCTGTTGAGTGTTTATTTCATCTAAAAAGGACCACTTAAAATAGTGTGCCCAAAAATATAATATTAATATTTTACACTAAAGCATTTTGATGTACATCAGTGCCTAATTTCATATCTGAACCTTAGAAATAAGACTTGAAATCATTGTAAAATTGAATTGACTTCCATGCTAAATGTACTAGCATATGCAATACAGGAAACCCAACTGCACTGCTACTCACATAAAATAATAACAGAGATAATATAGATAATAATAGATAATAGAGATTTTGCTTAGTTTAATAAAAGCACTTAAAGCACTCGTGTCTTCTTTTCAACAGTCATATCATTCATACCATGCGGATCATTAGTGCCACTTACCTTTCTTATTCAGGAAATGAGAATACATAATATTTAGGCCGGGTTTGCAGACTTCGTCCAGCAGAGTTCTGTGAAACTGTAGTGAATTGCCGCTGTTCCGGCGCGCCGCATCCGCCACTCCGAGCTCATTGAAGCCTATAAACTTCCCCACAGAGCTGCTGAACTGCACCGATAGTTCCTTATTAAAATAAACCTTATAGATGTATTCTATGTCGTTCAGATCTTCTGAGCTGCAGGTGCATTCATGTACCATGGAAAAATAATATCCATCTGCCAATGGAGGGGAAGACACAGGTAACAATAACAGAAATACCTAATATCTAAAGAGGTTGTTTGTCCTAACAGTTTTTGTGTACTATTATAACTATTATAACTTAGATTTTAGCATTAGCATTAGCATTAACATTCGAATAAGTGAACTCCTGGGCACAAAAATGGGCCAAGCCCCAAATATAATGGTTTTTAACTGATGGTTTTGGCTGGTCAGAGTCCAGATTTAAACCCTATAGAAAATATTTGGTCTCAGATTAAACACAAACTAGCTTGGCACTGTTTTTCAGCTGTTGAAGCCGTCAAAGTTGAATGGATCAATATTGACTCTTCTTTCTGTAACAGACTGTTTAAACACAAACCTTCAACATTTAAAGTAGTCAAAAAGAAAAGCTCCTCCACATAAACTTGCTGCATCTATTTATTTAATTATTGTAGTTAAAAAGCTTAATGTTTTGCTATTTTGGGCTTGGCCCATTTTTTTGCCCAGGAGTGTATAAATAAAAAAATGTATACAGTTTAATCAAGGTCACAAAATATGTCCGCCCAAATAACATAAGCCATCATATTTTTATACAGAAACTGCCGTTTTTGGTTTAGGTTATTAAATTTCATTTATTCAACATTAAGAACTTTGTTCTGTAGAGTTATCATTTTCAAACTGCACACAGTCTGTACATTCAGTTCAGTGGAAAACGACATGTTCTAAATGTAAACGTACCTGTCTGTATAGACTGATTCAGCAGGAGTAGCAACAGGAGGTTCAGCAACATTTTTCTCGCTCTACATCCAACAACAACTGAGAGAGTCTAAGAGAGTGAGTTCCAGTTCGTACAGACTCTTCAGTTCACTGTCCAATCAGAATCTACATACCAGTGCATCACATGTTACTAGGCTGCATCATGACTGCAGTTCAGATTAGATGAGCTGGGAATTAACCCTCTGGGGCATTTCCTCAATTTTTGCATATCTTCTTAAAACCTAGAAGCTGAATATGCGACATAAACTAGCGTTTATAACTTTAAACCAGTTTGAGCTACAGACATGGCGCACATATCAGAGCACTCAGCAGACCTGGACCAGTGTGAGTTCATCGATGTCAGCATCAGTGAGTAATATGGCTCTAAATATCACCCCAAATCCTGATTTTAGATCTCTGCTTTTTAGCCTTCATTTTATAACAAAAGGTTAAAATAGCAACATTGTATGCAGATGGGAACACTCAGCAGACTCCGCCCTCACTAACCAGCATAGTTACATCCAGCTGGGGCTAAGCATCAGCCAGTAACGCAGCTCCAAACAACGCCCGAAATCCAATTGCTACCATTATATTAGCCCTCTATTAGCTTTCAGGCTCCATATTATAACACAGGGTTTAAAGGCTGATGTGATTCTCATATAAGGACAGTAAACATGCAGCTCAATGTAATATTAAAACAATTTCTGAAAAGGTATCTGAGCTGACACTTGTTTGTAAGATCTGTATAAGCAAAAATGTACAAACTTTTGCAGGTGCTAAGCGAAATTTTTGATCAAAAATGAGCCAAATTTATAAAGATATCAAAAATCTCTTAGCATTTATACGTCAAATAATGACATATCTGAGTAGCTCAGTATCCTGAAAATAGCAACATGTGCCATGTGTGGCTGTCTCTTGTTATCCTGGGGTTATGAGAGTTAAACTCACCTTTTAGAGACTCTTACATAAAACTAATACACATATGTTTCATATCAAAATGCTCCGTTATCTTCATCACTACTTTCCAAAACCTCTGCTGCAACTTCAGCAGCTGTAAACTCTCTGCATGCCGTTTCACATGAGTCTCCGATGTGGACTAAATGAAGAATGAACGGTTTCCGGTGTGACGGTCAGTCCTTAGTGATCTCCTGAGTGTCCATTGGTCAGTTTCACACAGAATGTAGACGGACACACGAATCCACCAGTTCTACACGGTGAGAGGCAGATGGTGTGTATCTCAGCCCCTCTTCATAGGCTTATAACTCCTTCATGATAAGACGGAATGGAAAGGGCGACTCTACAGATTCAGGAATGTTTGAACCATATTTCTGTGCCATTTTATCACAAAGATAGAGAAACATAAATAAACATGAGAAACATTGAAGTTCGGGGGGTTAAGAAGAGATAAGACGTATGTATGGTAGTTCAAATGTCTAATGAGGTCTGTGTTTATCTACAGTGACATAGAGGCCCAGTTTTCACAATAGCTATCGTTGCTGTCGGAACAAAAGCATGTATCTGCAAACTGGCAACATTACAGGAGAAGGAAAAAACGTTTCCTACCTTATAATTAAAGTTAATGGAGAAATTATTTATTTTAGGTAATTTTGGACCATTTCTATTGGTCCATTCATCATGAAATTTTGATACAGTGTTAAAAAATGAAAAATGACAAAAGTGGAGATACAAGGTATTGTGCTGACAAAAACAATTGGTGATAACAGCAAGAAGGGCCTGGGTCTGATTCCTTTGTCAGGTAACCAGGGTGTGTGTGTGTGTGTGTGTGTGTGTGTGTGTGTGTGTGTGTGTGTGTGTGTGTGTGTTTGTGTGTGTATTGCACAAATGACACCAATGCTAGTCTGACTGTGCATTGCAGCAGCACTGCTGATCCACTCAGACCAGCGCAACACACACTACCACACCACCACCACATCAGTGTTACTGCAGTGCTGGGAATGATCCACCACCCAAATAGTACCTGCTCTGTGAGGGTCCATGGGGGTCCTGACCACTGAAGAACAGGGTAAAAGGGGGCTAACAAAGTATCAGAGAAACAGATGGACTACAGTCTGTAACTGTAGAACTAGAAAGAGCACCTATACAGTAAGTGGAGCTGATAAAATGGACAATGAGCGTAGAAACAAGTCATAATGTTATGCCTGATCGGTGTATAAAATAACCCATTTTCAGTGTCTTCACTCTGTTCACCCCCTACACATTTATATTACATGTGGTGTTGGGCTGAACCCGCAGGGAATAAAGGTGTGGAGGTGCTGTGTCCTTCACTCTGTTCTCCTCCTACATGGCCTGCTGTTATTGTGTGTGTGTCTGTGTGTGTGTGTGTGTGAGGGTGGACAACATGGACAGGCTGCTGACTGGCTACAGCTGCTAAAGGAGAATCCTACGGTGGACACTATGATGTTTTAAACCTCTGGTATTTTTTACATCAATTGTTATGGTTGTATTGATTAAAAAAAAACAAAACAAAACAATAATGCGGTGGGTCCACCAGACCACTGAACACACATCAACACCACACAATGGTTAATGCTACATTTTATAAAATATGTTATAAAGTACTATTTTGTATTATACATATTAAATACATATAATTAATTACAAGTAATGTACAGTTAACTATAACCATATTTCAGGATAATACATCTTAATCTTAAATCTTAATGCAGGAAGTGCAATAGATAAAGGATTTTATGGCTGAAAATAAAGGTTGATTTTAAGGTACATTTCAACATAAGAACAATTATCTAAAGTTTTATGCCTTTAAAAGGGCTCCCCCAGTAAAACCTGGTCATTTCCACCCCTGCATAGTACAGAATAATGTTTACATTAAACAAACTGCTAAAACGTTTAAACAAAAATTGTTCCCTGCACAAAGTAGACAGCAAAAGAAAAAACACCAATGAGCTGAAGGTGACCACACATAGTTTTCTCGAATGTTTACAGTCAGATTCTCATTTGCAGTTGTTTCCTTTGATGAAGAAGAAAACTCCAACAGCGACTCCCATCATGCCTGCAGTCAGACCCACTCCACAGTACACGGACAGACCCACACTGGGCAGAGTGACCTGCACATCTGTGGAACACACAGAAAAATAAAAGCATGAATATTCTGCTAATTTACAGTGGTGTGCACAGACTTTGTGGAGGGCAAGGCTGAGGTGTTTCAACAGGGTGTTTGATGAGGTACTAATAGGAGTTTTGTAGTATGTGAAACTAGCATTACACACGCACACACACAAACACACACACACACACACACACACACACACACACAAACACACACAGCATCTAAACCACTTATTCTTCTGGGTCGTGGGCAGAGCTGGAGCCTATCCCAGCTGTTATTGGGGGGGGGGGTACTATTGTTATAAAGTTCTTCCTGTTTTGAGTGGTTGTTCTGTGTGTAGATCTGATTTTAATTATACAAATGTAACATATATTCAAGTCTGACCTAATTCTGATAAATGTCCTATTAAATCATTTCAGTGACAATGTAATATTATTTACACTTTATTTAACCAGAAATATTCACATTTAGCTCACTAGGAAAACGTATTATTATTATTTATTTATTTTTTTCCTGCTGAAATATATACAGGATATTTTAATTTTTCTACCAGATTTTTGTCCGTTAACAGTTTTTGAGATATCGACAACGTTCCAGCTCTGGGATGTTCAGCCTGATCGGGAATCAAGTGGTTGTAGACAGCTGTTTGATCTGATTTATGGTTTTTGTACAATCTTTATTAAATTATGATTTATATGGTATACCAGCTGTGTAGATATGCAAAAAAAGCTGTGTTAATACATGCATACTACTACTACTAATAATAATAACAATAATAATAATAATAATATTACTAAAATATATAATGTCACTACACCTCCTGTTTCCTCACATCTAACATCTAACTTGGTTTTCTTGTTGGACCAGTGCCCTGATAACTAGGTAATATTATTGTTATTAACAATACTAATACACTGATCAGGCATAACATTATGACCACCTCCTTGTTTCTATGCTCATTGTCCATTTCATCAGCTCCACTTACTATCAGTCCCCCAGTGACACCTGAGGATGACCAACACAAACTGTGCAGCAGCAGATGAGCTATCATCTCTGACTTGACATCTACAAGGTGGACTGACAAGGTAGGAGTGCCTAATAGAGTGGACAGTGAGTGGACACATTGTTTAAAAACTCCAGCAGCACTGCTGTGTCTGATCCACTCATACCAGCACAACACACATTAACTACCTGCTCTGTGTGGGTGCATGGGGGTCCTGACCACTGAAGAACAGGGTAAAAGGGGGCTAACAAAGTATCAGAGAAACAGATGGACTACAGTCTGTAACTGTAGAACTACAAAGTGCACCTATATAGTAAGTGGAGCTGATAAAATGGACAATGAGCGTAGAAACAAGGAAGTGGTCAGACGGCGTAATTTCTAATACAGAATACATAATAATTCACCCAATAACCCCCAAAGCAGGTATAAATCTCACCCCATGTTCTGGTCAGTGGTCTGTCCAGCGCTGTGTGCTCCACAGTGCAGGTGTAGATGTCACCCTTCTCTGGAATGAACTTCAGAAAGGAGACCACATTGAAACTTCCATCATTGGTTGGATAATATCTGCTGAGACTGACTTCATCCGTCACATTGACGTTGTTCCTAGTCCACGACACTTTAACATGAGGTGGGTAGAATCCAGTGATGTAACAGATGAGGGTGTTTTCAAAGCCCACCTCCACTTCATTCTTGGAGTAGATGGAGCTTTGTGGAGCATCTGTGGATAAAGTTATTCAGTTGTTACTCATGTTGCAACATTTAGACTTCAAAATGGAATAATCAAATTTAGAAGACTGTAAAAATGACTTTGTGAGACGTACAGTGGGCTCCAAATGTCTGAGATGACCAGTGAAAATGCTTCTACTTTACATTACACTTGCATTTATACTTTATTGTTTAAACTTTTTAAAATTACAAATAATGTTTCACATTACAATTTAAATAAAATCAAGCAGCTGTGGAGCTTGTACCCTGAACTGAGCGCCTACTGAAGCTAGACTAAAAGCTGAAGCATTTTGATTTAGCTAGCAATATTATAAGTGGTCCATCCAAAAGCTATAAATTATGGGGTTTGCATTTTATGAGCATAATCTGTAATAAACCTCAAAACCTGTCAGGTTAATATAGCTATATTGTTATCTATCCTATACTACATATGCTGCATATCTGGACATCACAAGAAGTCAGTCGCTCTAGGTAGCATATTGTCTTGATAAGTCTATGGCTACAGCTGTTCTGAGACTAAGAAGGAGTCAGTGCTGATTGGATAACTTTGTCACTGCTTCCACGCTGAATCTCATAAAAGTCTTCCGAAACTGTCAAGAAGCACAACGAGCACTGATAACAAACCAAAGGCTTGAGGCAATGGCAGATAGCAACTGTTGCTTAGCATTTACATTCATGGCATTTATTGCACTTAGCAGTGATTGGAGGGCTGAGAAAATAAGGTGAAGCTTGGGGGAAAGTGTAATGATTCTACTGGCCATAATACAGTGATCACACTCATGGAAAACAAAATCAAACTGCATTACCTCAAAAATGTAGCTCAATAAATATTTTTCCCTATTTGATTGGGTAGGACTGTGGTCAGTTTGGGTAGGCCTTGGCTTAAACTGGCCTACCTGTGGCTCCTGAGTAGGCGACTGCTGTCACGTCTGCCACTGATGATTGCCCTCCATGCCACCAGAGGTCTCTTTCACTAGAATTCTAGCCTAGGCACTTGTTACTCATTGGTAGCCGTTTTGTATAAACGGACGTTGCTTTGCTTTAGTTCTTTGCAAAGTCTTGTTTCCGCCATGCCTTATGATTCTGAGTGGTATTCAACTGGTTCTTATTTTCTGGTTATGAACCTCATCTTTGTTTGATTTTATGTTTATGTACTGCATACTTGGATCCACTGCCTGATTACCCGGTACTGACCTCATCTATCTTTGACCATGAGTGTGTAATAAACCTGCACTTGACTCCAGTCACCAGTTACCAGTTCTTCTGTGACATCTGAATTATCAGCACAGTGATTATTCAGTGATATAAAACTGAAGTCAGATATTCACGAGCTTCTTGGTCGAATTTTCCCGTTCCACCTTAAATGGTGCGTCAATACTCCTAGACTATTTAAAATTAGCTAGCTAGCTACCAAGACATTAGCATCCTATTAGCTATTTTTATGCTTGTTGTGAAGAAAACTATCATAATACGTTGAAATGACATTAAACTAAGATAATACAGTGGTTATCACAATTTTTAACAGAGAAAATTCTCACATTTGTGGGTTTCTTTGGTCTCTTGTTCTCCATCTTGCCGGTTTTTCTTTTTTTCTCATATCTCTCTGTTTGGAGTGTCTGAAAAACCTCAGTTTGGAGGGCAGTGTAGCCCTAACACTTCACCCTACCCCTCTATCTCAACAAATGGGACACCCTACCCCTAGATGTGAATGCGCAAAACAGAGGGCTAAGGGATAAGTGGTAGGGGCGAGGGGTGAAATAGGATTGGGCCTAAATCTCATGGTCTGACCAAAAGCTTCACTGGAAAGAATAAAACAATCTGACCTTTTTGATCATGGTCACTGTCACAATTTGGCTTAAATTTTAATAGTCTTCTCATGCCCTTTAATTGCTTTTCTCTTTTTAAAAATTCTAAAATGGTTTGTTGTTTATTTACAGATGTAAATAAAAAAAAATCCCATATTTTCAGTCTAAAACTTTTAAAACGCTTGTTTTTTTTCTTTTCTTGAGGTGACCATTGTGGTGTGTGTGTTTAGATGTATACTTGACCACTTCAGACAAAAATAATTTAACTTCAATAAAATGATCTGATACTGAAAAGAACTCAGTGTATAAACTTGCACAGTAACTTCTTCATAGAACTGTCACAATTCATACAAGACAATGAGTGTGTTTACATTCACTTAACAATCCGATGACTCCAGAAAATCAGATTTTGTCAGTAATCCGTTAAATGCGTTTACATGCACTTGAGTAATCAGACAATGGGGAAACTCGTGAGTCAGACAGTAATCGGATTTCTGCTTTGCAACCAGCCAATAAATTCACAGAAGAAGACGTGACATAAAAATCTCAAACTTCATGGCTTTTTTTTTAATTGGGCCACTTTACCTAAAAATATGAACAGACATTTTTAAATCCTTCATTTGGTTAAGCGTGTAGTCGGTTTTAGTGTTTCTCCAAAAGTGTTTCACATGCACTGAGAAATCTGATTACTGAACTAAAATCCAGCCTCTGTATCAGATTTCTAGACCTGATCTAAGAAATCAAAGTGTGCTGTTTACATGACCATTTGAATAATCAGATAACTGCAGAAATCTGATTATGATCAGATTATTGAGTGCATGTAAAGGCATTCAATCTCATCATACAAGACTTTTTGAGATGCAGTCATATGCAAAAGTTTGCGGGCACCAGAGTCACAGAACATGTTGTCTGGATTTTCTAAGGGTAAATGAGTTAACACTAAGAGAACACACTTCTGCACACTTTAATACACAATTATTGTTTATTTGCTGAATTTAACATGTAACCTCTGTGCAAAAGTTACTGCACATTTTGATTTGATCAATTTGATAAACTCAGCAAGAAAACAGAAACTCTCACTACAGTTAGCAGAAAATGACATACTTCAGTGTGTTCTCTGAGGATGTGTTAACCTCCTTTCACTGAAATGAAAATCAGCATGTGTAATTTGAGCAGCGGTGCCCAAATATTTGCATAAGACTGTATATGTATGTATTTACTACTTTTGGTTTTCTCCACATGGTTCCACGTCTACACTCTCAGAAATAAAGGTACTAAACTCTCACTGGGGCAGTGCCCCTCTTGTCACTGGGGTGGAACCCTCAAGGGTACATCTTAGTACCTTTAATCAGGGAACATAACTGAACCATAATCCATTGAAGTTGACTCCACACCCCCCGTCTCGTCTCCAGGCTTTTGATTTTATTGCTCTGTTTTAAAACATTCGGTTATGAAAAGGTACAAATACAAACTTTTCACCTGGATAAACTTATTTAAGGTCCAAAACTGGACCTTTATTTCTAACAGCATATGTTTCAATTAGTTGTGAAAAAGTAAACGTGTGATGTAGTGATGCCGGTGTCTTACCCAGCGGTTCAGGATTGCTGTAATTTTTTGTCCAAATCTTCAAGCTGCTTTTGCAAACTTCCATTCTACCCATACTTGACTCATAAGCTATTGGATAGGAAATGGGCTCTGAAAACCTCGGCAGTGTCATCACTCCTTTACCCTTGCTGAAGTCAATGTGGTACATTTCTTCTTCATTATCTCCATACATGACCTCTCGCTCTGTATCAGAGCACAGGATTAGTCCTACGACCCTGTGCCGAGCTGAGGAAGAGAGAACAGCATGTCAGTGCCTGCATTCAGAAACACTGTTTTATTGGTTTAACCCTCGTTATCTGGACAAAACATATTCATCTCTTCTCTTTTTCTCTTTCTTAAGTAACAGGACCTGCCAAAAGTGAGCATTCATAGGTTTTTGACCCAAACTGCCCCTGCAAACTTCATCCTTGTGGGAATAAACTTCACTCTTTGGTTGCATCTTATTGGGGTTACCAACAAATACGGAATGGAAACCGCATTGAACAGACATGGAACGTGCTTTGTTCCATATATTTGAGATGAATTCATTGCAAATCTATTTGAGAGAAATATTACAGGTTACATTATTAAGACAGGGTGGTTTGTATGAGACAGAAGGAAACCCTACTGTTCTCCATCAGCGTGTCTGTCATGTTATGTTCCAGAACCAATCAGCAGAGATGGGAACGAGTCCCTAAGTTGCAAGGAACAAGTAAGTCTCCAGTCTTGACACTCAAGTCCCGAGTCAAGCCCCAGGTCAAGAGAGTCGAGTCTCAATTCAAGCCCAGAGTCAGTACAGGCGAGTGTCAAGTCCCAAGTCAATAGTCTTAATCTTCCAGTCCTAAACAAGTCAGTATGCATTCATCTGCTAATAGAAGTTTTAGTTTCTCCAGTAGAAGTTTAAGTGCTGAGCGAGGCCACGTTGATGCTGTTGATGCTTCATTTGTTTCCAAGTTATGGAGGTAAACTTGAACTCTAAATGCTTCACTTTTTTCCCAAAATAAAATAGGCCGAGCATAAGCACAGTGACAGACATCTGACGATGGTGCTATATATCAGATTTACGGCGGGAAACGAATACATTCACACGAAAATGTGGTTGGTATAGTGTGGTGGGTAACACCTCTGCCTTCTATGCTATAGCCTGGGGTTCAATCCCTGCCTGGGTAAGCACCCTACATTATTCCAGTAAGAGTCCTTGGGCAAGACTCCTAACACTACCTTTGCCTACCTGTGTCTGCCAAATGCCATAAATGTAAAGGTAATGAAAAGTGACCAACTGTGTAGCCGTCCGCAGTCAGACTCTCTCCACGCTTCTTCTTCCTTCGAGTCTTTCTGAGTCCTAAGTCTGAGTCATTGGTGTTTAAGACAAAGTTGAGTCTCAATTTTTTTGAGTCAAGTCTCAAGTCATCAAATTTGCGACTCGAGTCGGATTTGAGTCATATGACTCAAGTCCACACCTCTGCCAAAACAGAGAATGCGCTTCTCATTGGTCGTGAGTCATGATCACTGGTGAAAAAAAGAAGTTTACAAAAATACTGAAGAGAATAGGAAAATATAAAAATATCACTACTATTGCCTGAAATGCATGAGAGAGAATATATACAAGGCCAACTGCACAGTTTACCACCAAGTTTTCTCATTAGCATCGTTTGCTGTCTTTTCTGTAAACTTTGCTCAGCTTGAACATTTTAACTTCTTTTGTCGTCTAAACTTAATTGAAACTAGCAGTTGTTTTTAGTTTGCTGAGCTAGTTTTAGTTTTTATTTGAATCTTATGCTCACAGTGCTCCTAAAAATCACAAACAAATCTCAAATATAAATTTTTAATTAGGTTTAATAGTACTTTGAAAATTCTTCTTGTGTGTGGTTGCACTACTCTTTGTGTATAGCAGGATGTCTGTCATGGTTATCTGTGTACCATGGATTTTGTGTTTTAATTTTAAGGGTAAATAATATACAGCTACACACTACTAACATGCTGTCATTAAAAGACTGTATTACTACCATTTTTGGTGTTCAGTGTTGAAGCCTTCATATAACCTGAAGAATGCCAACTGACTTGTTTAGGACTTGGGACTCAACTTGAGACTTACCTGTACTGACATGGGACTTAAATCTAGACTTGACTTTCTTGATATGGGACTTGACTCGGGACTCGAGTGTCAAGACTTGAGACTGTAGCCCAATCCCATTTCTTATTTTTACCCCTACCCCTTGTTTTCGAGTGTCTCCTTGCCCCTTGGAACTGAGTAACAAGTTGTAGTGGTTGAAATCTTCCCTCTGAAATGGGACCCTTAAATAAAAAGAGCATCACTTCATTAACAGCTACCAGCGCTGCTCTGTAGGCGACCCTGCCAGTCTGCAGTGACGGCAGAGGAGGGTAAAGTTCAGCTCCTCACTGCTGGGCTTTAGTTACATTTAGGGCATCATATGCCTTCAAAGAGGGGGGCAACTATTTATTATCACCCACCCCTAATTCTTCAGTGATATGAAGCTGAAGTTCACCAGCTTCAATTTTTCAATATTCGAATTTACCCGTTGCACCTTAAATGGAGCAGTGGCTACATTCTGGTGCTTCAGGTGTAGGTATTGCTGGACTATTTAAGGTGGAACAAGAAATTTAGCTAGCTACTGAGCCATTAGCATACTATTATTAATTTCTTTTTTTGCTTGTTATGAAGAAAAGGACCATAATATATTGAAACTTTTTGGATAGTCATCATACTTTTTAACGAAGAAAATACTCACATTTGTGGGTTTCTTTGGTCATTTGCGCTCCATCTTGTCGTTTTTGTTTTTTTCTTATAACACTCTGTTTGGAGTGTGCCTCTGAAAAACCTCCATTTGGGGATGGCATGTAGCCATAATAATTTGCCCTACCCCTCTATCTCAACAAAAATTGGGCCACCCTACTCCTAGACGTGAACACGAAAACGGAGGGCTAAGGGCTCAGTGGTAGGGGTGAGGGGTGAAACAGGGTTGGGCCTTACTTGTTACTTGCAACTTAGTGACTTGTTTTTATGTCTGGTAAGAAGTGAGGGCAGGAGCAGCAGAACAAGCTTCTGGATGCAGCCTAGTTCTCCCCTGAAGTAGTCATGCACACACACATGCGCTCCCTCTCTAAATTTCTCTCTCTCTCTCTCTCTCTCTCTCTCTCTCTCTCACACACACACACTAGTTTAAACACCATTTAGCTCAAATTCACTGTAAATGCACTGATGTTTGTTGGTGATTCTTTTATTTCTGTCTAAGAACAGATAATGTGTTAATAAAGGTTTCATTTATTTTCTAAGTTAGCTGACAACTAAGTTGTCTACCTTGATATCAAACACTGGTTCCTGTCAATATCTCTATCAAAGAAATTACACTTATTAAAACTTTCAGAAATCAGATCATCGGGCCTCGTTCACTAACCATTCTTAAGAAGAAAATTCCCTTTCATGCTGTTTCTTATTCAGGATTTGTTCTTAGGCTCAAGATAATGAACAAAGGTATGAACAATTCTGCGGTTTAATATGATGACTCTGACATAGTGTCTATCCTAAGACTTTTCAGTAACACTTTCTATGAATGTCACGTTTGTAAGCATCTATAAACACATTTATAACATGTTATAATGCATTCATATGGCATTATAAACATGATTATAAACATGTATAAAATTGAATTACACTTTATAGCCATGTTTATTATACATTATGAATTGTTAATATAATGCATTATAAGTAGTGTTGATAACATGTTATAATGTCAGTGCCAAAGAAGTCAGTCCCAGCTTGGAGAGCGTAAAGTAAAGACAAATACCAAGCTAACGGTGGTGAACATTACCTTTCCCACATTGGGTAAAACACTGATGGCAGCTCTAGTTTAAACTCTGACATTTGAAGCCTGTAATGTGCTTTACTGTGAATGTTTTAGTGTTTCAGTAAATCCTTCAGTAAATACTTCAACTTGAAGCCTCACTCTGAACACTGGAGGAGGCTTTAGTACAGTACGCTTCACTTTACTTAGAGCGGACAAATACCACTTATGAGCTCTTATAATTTGGTATGAACACTACTTATAATGTATTATGTTAACAATTCATAATGCATAATAAACATGGCTATAACATGTAATGCATTTTTATAAATATTTATAGCCATGTTCATAATGCCTTATGAACGCATTATAACATGTTATGAACGTGTTTATAGATGCGTACAAAGGTGACATTCATAGAAAGTGTTACCGACTTTTCTTAAGAACACATTTTTAAAGAAACTTCAGAATATATTGGTGAATGAGGCCCACTGACATTATTTCTTTAGTTAGAAATTAGAGACTGTGGAATTCTATCTGATTATATATGAGACTGATATACTAAATTATAAGACTGAGTATTTAATGAGGCTGATTAATATTCATAAGGTATGGTATATTAACATTATGCAGCAAAAGCCCTAAACCAGATACTGTTCTCTTTATCTTTATCTGTCTCAGAGCTCTGTACAACATTACAATAATACATAATACACTAACTACAGTCCAACAGCTCAGTTCACTATTAAACACTAAAGCAGTTTCTTACTTTTAGCCTCTGTGGAGAGAAAAGCTGCCCAGACGAGAATCAAACACAGCTTCATTTTGTCACCGTAGGAGCAAAACAAGCTCATGCATGAGTGAGAGCTGACAGAACGCGATCTCTCTGTTTCCCTCTCTCTCACTATGACCTCATAGTAAATCATCCAATAGGATTATTGCTTCAGTGACACTGCAGTTTCTGGGTAGGTTTAGTTTTTGGCTTCTCAGAGACCTTGATATTCATTTAATTCATATACATAATACAGGACACTTCTGGATTAAAAGTCAGAGGACTTAGGGGTGTCAGGGGTGCATCTATGGGATGGAGGCTGCCACCCCTTCCTCAGACACCCCACTTACTACCCCCATTCCACAGCATAAGGAGTCTCAAAACTCATGAAATGATGTAAAAAGTATGTCTGTTATTTATAGATCATCCTCGGAAGAAATCAAGACACCTCTATGTGCACACAAGACCCTTTCCAGCTGGGACCACTCATAACGCCACACTGCAGGGCAGTCGTTGGAGGAGCGAGAGAACAGATGGATACAGTAGCTGCTTCTGCGTTAAGTTTCACCTGAAAAAATGTTTACTGCATTTAATATCATATTGCATCACAACACCATTGCACATACAGTAGCTCAGAAACAGTTATTTGAGATGTTCACACAAGCATATTGCTGCTGTAGGAAGAAAACCTTGTATCTCTATTTTTGTCGTTTTTCAGTTTTTGACATAAGATGAAAATGCTTGTTGTCCTTTACATTGTGTGTTAATTTCATGACGAATGGACTAAAAGAAACAGTGCAAAATTACTTGGAAAAAAGTCTGGTTCCATTGACTCACATTAGAACTAAAGTATGTTTTTTACTTCTCCTGTAAAGTTACCATTTTGGGGATACAAGGTTTTCTTCCGACAACAGCAATATATCTTATTAGCTATGTACTCACTTAGCAAGGCAAATAAATAGTTACATTGCAACCTCATGTGTCCATCAGTTAGAATTCACTTGTTCAAAATTACAATTGCATTAATTTTTAGATTAAAAACGTCTGCAGTTCAATTAATGATTTGAACAGCCGGCGAATTTCAACTGCTTTGAAACTGCTAGCCTGTAATATAGTCTAATCTAATGTAGCATATTATCTCTGACTTATTACAGTAGGCACTTGGGAATCGGAACCAGTGAGAAATTCTGTGCAGTTTATTATTCAAACTTGCTATTTACCAAACACAGTTGAAGAGAAGAGATAACTGTATATGTTGGTTGCTGTTTATTGAAGTTCAGAAGGTTGTTTGGACAGATCCCTCCATAAATCTGTACTAAATAGAGCAAACTACATGAATATACACTGTACACTATACACTTGTATAATCTCGCAAGAAAAGCACTGACCAATAGGATGAGGCGCTCTGCAGCAGCTGTGCATGAGCCTTAGGTCACTGTGGGCAATGCCCAGCGTGGGCTAAGGGGGGAAAAAGCCCCCAGCATTGGGCTGTGGAGCAGTGGAACTGTGTTCTCTGGACTGATGGAGCTTCATCCAATATCTTTGGGATGAGTTGGAGTGGCCAGAACTGACCATCCAACATCAGTACCTGACCTCACTAATGCTCTTGTGGCTTTTCTATGGAGATTATACAAGCTGTGTGTCGACCTTATGCAGCTGAATTCACTAATAAGGAGGGACATCTGCAGACTTTTGGTCATATAATGTGTCTCTAAACTGAGGTGGGTTTGGTTGTGGGTGGATATCGCCCTCTTGTGGTTATGTTTGATGGTTTAAAGGTCACAGGTATGACTGTGTGTGTGTGTATGAGTGAGTGATGGTAGGAATGCATGTTTTATTTTTATTTTTTTTGTATTGTATTTTATTTTATTTTATTGTATTTTATTGTATTTTATTTTATATTTATTTTATTCACTACATGTAAATGTCTGTCTGATACCGTGCACTGTGAGCTCCTGTAACCAAAACCAAATTCCTTGTATGTGTAAGCAAACCTGGCCAATAAAGCTTGATTCTGATTCTGATTCTGATTCTGATTTACTTTATGACTGTGTTTTTTCCAGCAGTGGTTTTCCAGACCTGGACAGCTGGAACGTTTCATGTGTGGGCCGACGTATCCAGGGCCCTCTGACCACCAGCACTGCTGCGTCCTTCAGGACTTTTGTGGAAATACAAAATGATTATTCCATCTTATGAATTGAAAGCAATGAATTGAAGTGTGGGAAAAATGTTTCATCTGAGAAATTTGATGTAATGTATCTGTAATGTAGCAATAAAAAGGCAGCATCGCTCTCTTCCTCATTGTCAACAGGAGCTCCACCCACCCTCCCATGCTGAAAGGGAAGAGGTTTCAAAACAAGCTCGGACCCTGTGTCCCAGAAATCTCTCCCATTCCAGTACTTCTCAAAGACAGAAAGAACAGGGAGTACATGTCCGATAATGGGAACTTATCCAATCTGCAGTATGTAAAATGTGAGTCACAGCTTCTGAAATGAAGTTAGTTCTTCTTAATATTAGATCTTCCACAAACAAGTCCAGTTTGATTAATGATTTTATTACATGGGCTTGATTTTATGCTTTTAACAGAAACATGGTTACCTGAATGCAGCGCTAAAGCCGTATGAACCGAGTCGGCTCCACCAAACTTTAGCTTTATAAATGTCTCACATGCTGTCAGGAAAGGTGGAGGTGTAGCTGCTCTTTTTATGGATTCTTTCCAGTGAAAGCGGTTATCATTTGGTGATCTCACATCCTTTGAGTTTCTTTGTGTGGTTCTGAAAGGGGCACAAAATATTCCTAGTAATTGTCTACAGGCCTCTGAAGTACAATGCTAATTTTATTGATGAATTTACAGATATGTAGCTTTCATTTCCACTGATCATTTTGTTATTGCTGGTGATTTTAACATACATATTGACAACTCCAATGACAGGAACTCTGTGAAAATACATAAAATAAACTGTTCATACTGTAAAATAACAGAAATGTGTAAAAAAAGGTGTATAAAATATCACATTTACTGTTTTTTCATCGTACTTACAAAACTCATACAAAACTTCCTCGTATGGCGCAAAGTTCAGTGATGCCACTAACATTCACTGGTTTTAAAAACTTTGAGCTAGACGTCTTTTCGATATGTTTACAGAAAATTGTCGTTTTTTTCAAAAATCTTTGTTTCACCAAGGAAAAAACAGATAATTAGATTTCCATCTAACTGGACATAGCTGACTCCAAATGGACTGAGGTGCCACGTGGACATTTTATAGACACATAATCCTACTGTAAGCTATTTTTCAGAGCATTTTCAACAGACTTTTATGTTTAGTAGAAAAGTACGAAAGTCCAGAGAGGTAGTTATAATTTTCTGGATTGTTATCTTGAGATAACAAGTTAACTGTCTTGTGATCTCAAGATAACAAAGTTGTCATCTTGAAATCACAAGAAAATTAACTCGTTATCTCAAGAAAACAATCCAGAAAATTCTAACAACAGCTCATGGCCTCTCTGTACCTCTGAAGAAAAGCTTTTAGTTTGTGACTTTAAAGTGTTCAGTATTATGCAGTCAAGCTATCTTACTGTTCTTTTCTCATTTGAGCTTTCTTTTTCATTGTTTTATGTTCTTTAACATGAGTTTCTTTTGCAAAGCATCGTCAATATAAATTGTAATATACATTCACAGCCACTAGATGTCACTCATTTCTATTTATTGGCTCCACATTTCAGCCCCTGCTGCAAAAAGTGATCTGTGTGTCTGGTTGGGTAACAACTTCTAAACTTTATTTGTACAGTATTTGACCATGAAACTCAATTTTCTTCTGAATTGCTCTTAAAGTTGAGGTGCAGAGGGAAACCACATTGCAGCACACAGAGCATAATAGCAGTGAGGTGAGTTGTTTGTATTTTGTTTATTATTTTTGTTTGGTTGGGGTTCCTGTCTCTCCTGGCCAAACCTGAAGACTGTACCTGTTGTATAATACACTTTGGATTTGTTATTAAGAGCCATTTGCCATTTTACACACATTCACAAAGTGCACATTTCACATCACACTGTTCTTTTATGGCCTGACCCTAGACCAGGTCACAACACTCATTCACTTGTATTTATCTAATGTGTGGCAATTGAGGACTCCATGGTATATTTTGGTTTTTCCATCTGAATATACGTGACCAAATTGTGAGGCAAATTATTCAGTAACTGCATGAAATAAATGTACATTTTTATTTTATTTATTTATTTTTTTTTAAAAGCTCTCCTCAAATTAACAGAACAGTTTTATGATCACACATATTGCTATATGCTTACAATTTACTGCTGAAAGCCAAAAATCTTAGACGCTCTTTGTATTATTTTATAAAAATAATGTTTACAGAGCAGATCACTGAAGAGACGCCATCTGTTTATAGTTTATAGCCCAGATTTGTGGAAAAATGGGTCGACTTTCAGTAGAAAAAAAAATGTGAGTTCAGCTTTATAAGTTCAGGGTTTATAATTACATCACCCATCTATTTGACTGGAAAGAAGACAGTTACAGCCTCATATGACCCCCATCTTTTGAATGTAGCTTATGAAATATGAAAGTTATGAAGAATATGACGAAGTGCATTTTGGAACCACCGATGGTCTCAAGGAGTTGAAGAGGACAGCAGCAGTGCTCAGTGTGAGGATGCAGGCATCAGAACATGTACAGTGAAGATCTTGACTGTTATATTGTTTGAACCATTTCTCATGTAGAGTTGATCTGGAACATGAGCTGTAGGCCTCAGTTTGGGCAGCTCTGCTAAATTACAAGGTTATTTCTTTAAATGAAAGCAATGAGGAACTTCTGAGCTGGACAAATCTATTATTTACAAGCTGTAGTAAACTGGGAGCAGTGGGGTAAAACTGTAAAAGGAAAAGTGCCGAGAGCTCCACAGTGATCACAGGGCTAACATGTGTGGCTTTTCAATGGCTAACCTTTATCTGAGCACTGGAGGAATCAGAAAATAAACATATTTTTCACATGAATTTTAGGAAATGAGAGTCTGTGTATGGGCTGGCTCCAGGGCTGCGGC